CTATCTGTGTGCGGGAGACCACACTGGATGGACTCTCCCCAAACTCTGGCACTTTTCTTAGTCAGCATATAGACCCATCTTTCTGGAACATGTACATGTGCTTTACAAAGATTTTGATGCAGTCACGGTCACGTCCAGTCTTTATTTGGCTCTCTTTTACCTCAAGGAGATTTATGCATGCTTTGTTGTGCACACGGGACTGAGTTAGTTATCGCAAGGGAAGTTTTCCCCAGATTTCAAATTCACCATCATCCTCTCCATTTCAAACTTCCCAAACAATGTTCCTTTGATTACCTACAAAAATTCTGGGGCCGTGTCACTTGGGGATGTTCTTATCCACCCTCCACTATTAAAGACTTGGCTCTGCCCCCTCTTTTTATTGTCTTAATTGAGCTATCCATTTTTCTCTGCTCTTGGCTCCACCCTTTAAGTTGTTTGCTGGAGACTCTTGGTGAAACTCTGTAAGAAACACAACACCTGCCGCCACTAAAGCGGTAGCTCATAGAATTAATTCATCAATAATTTGTTCTTCCTTCCTCCTCATCACCAACTGGCATTACATACCAACAAGGTAATGGTGTTATAGAAATTAATTTATGTCATATTCTCTGCAATGATCTGCAACTCCTATATACAAGAAATTATAGAGCTGATAATGATGGGAAGGGCTCTTCTTAAACAGCTTACTGGTAAAGAGCCTGTGGAAATCAGTGTGCCATTCGGTGAAATGCAGGTTGGCTATTTTTTCCACCTGGATAATACCTGGCAGGAAGCAGTAGCATGTTACTCTGGGTGTAAAGACAGTCATTACTCTATAGCTGTAAAGATAATCATTACCCTATAGATGTAAAGATAATCATTACCCTATAGATGTAAAGATAATATTACCCTATAGATGTAAATATAATCATTACCCTATAGATGTACAGATAAGCATTATCCTATAGATGTAAAGATAATCATTACCCTATAGATGTAAAGATAATCATCACCCTATAGATGTAAAGATAATCATTACCCTATAGATGTAAAGATAATCATTACCCTATAGCTGTAAAGATAATCATTACCCTATAGCTGTAAAGATAATCATTACCCTATAGATGTACAGATAAGCATTACCCTATAGATGTACAGATAATCATTACCCTATAGCTGTAAAGATAATCATTACCCTATAGATGTAAAGATAATCATTACCCTATAGATATAAAGATAATCATTACCCTATAGATGTAAAGATAATCATTACCCTATAGATGTAAAGATAATCATTACTCTAAAGATCTCCTTTCAAGATTTTTTTTAAAGATACCCCATGGGTATTACAAAAATTATATCTAAAAATTCTAGATAGAGATTGATTTTGATGCTTTTACAGGTGGCTCTTCAAAAGGACAAGGAGCTTACATCTTATATACAAATTCCACACCCTCCACAAAAAAGATTGTCCCCGTCCTTGGTTGAGCTCAACAGTCTGAACTTGCTGTAATCAATTAGCCATTATTGGATGTTTCTCAGCCATTGAATATTTTAACTGACTCTGCATACTGTGATCAAACTGTTCCTCTTTCAGAAATTACAAGACTTAAACCTAAGCCCACTACTGTCATTTCACAATCCTGTCTCTCCCTTCAGACATCTGTACGACAAGGACAACCTCTCTTCATATCTCCTTTTCCTGCTGATTCTAATTTGCCAGGTCCCTTAACACCTGCCAGTGCTCAAGTCCATGAGCTGAGCCGGCCTCCTCCTTGCCCCTAATACTTTCTTTTCAATCTGCTCAAAAAAAAAAAAAAGTCCTATGACCGGCTTCAACTTCTGTTCTTCTTTTACACCACTGCCCTCTACTGGCAGAATTAATCCCTGCAGGTTAAAATCTAACCATTTTGACTTCAGGTTTTAATTCATACCTCAGAATCAGGACGCTTAAAAATATGTTCATGAGGGCTGGGGAGATGGCTCAGTGGTTAAGAGCATTGCCTGCTTGTCTAAAGGTCCTGAGTTCAATTCCCAGCAACCACATGGTGGATCACAACCGTCTGTAATGAGATCTGGTGCCCTCTCTTCTGGCCTGCAAGCATGAATGTAGGCAGAATACTGTATACACAATAAATAAATAAATCTTTAAAAAAATATGTTCATGAAATGGTTGATACTTTTTCTAATATGATTGTTGCTTCTGCTCACAAGGGTGAAACAACCTCAGGTTCGATTCATCATTTATTATACACCTTCTCCTTCCTAGGGTGCCCACTACATCTAAAAGCAGATGATGGTACTGCTTATGGTAGCAAACGCTTTAAGGAATTTTGCAGTTTATGAACTATCAGTCATATTACTGTGATCTCATACAACACAGAGGATCAAACTATTGTGTAGTGGCACAATAAAATTCTTAAGTGTCAACTTTAAAAATATTTATATATAGTATTTAATAATTATATATACAGTATTTGTCATTATATATACTGTATATGCAATACATATACACTATTATTAATATGTACAGTATTTAAACTATGTTACAGTATACAATATAATATTAGGAGTATAGACATTTAGCTATGCTCACTTTACTTTTTTTCCACTGTAAAGGATAATGCTTCTTCTGCTTCCCCCAAACATTTTACCCTTAAGGAGACACAGCCTAAGGTACATGTTTTTATGCTTTTTTTAAGATTGCCCATCCTGGGAATGATTACTGAACTATGAAGGGAGGTCTCAAAGATGTCCTGCATGGTTAGTAAAGCTACTAATATTACAGCAAAAATATTAAATATTAGCAGAAATCGACCAAGAGATGGGTGACCTGAGAACCACAGTTTTATAAAATGGAGCTACTACAGATTATTTGTTGGTCAAGCATCATCTTGGTTGTCAACAATTTCCTGGCATGGGTTGCTTTAATGTGTCAGATTTTTCTCCTATGATCAATAGTCAAGCTAATGATTTGCATAAAGAGATAAATGCAATCTCTCAAGTGACCTATGAATGTCCTTCATGATTAACATGGCTTTCCCCTTTCCTCGGTCCGTTGTTTGCTACTCTTATAATTATGTTATGCCTGCCCATATTAGCTAGACTAGCCATGCAGGCAATGCATTCAACATCTGCCTCTGTTGCAGCTACAATCTTCTCTTTGAAAAATAAAAATGGGGGTGATCTGGGAGGCATGGAGGTTCTTGTGCTTCCAGATAAGCCCTAAGGGAACCTGGGATGTTAAACATACAAGGTTGTTCCTTCAAAGAAAAGCAGGCATAACCTGTTACCCATCCAGAAGTCTAGGAGAGGATGGGATTAATAACCTGTTAACCTTTGAACTCTCTGTGGGTAAGACCACACCGGATCCTCCCCCAGACCCTTATTGTAACCTTATTTTTCGCAGTCAATATAACCCAGCCTTATGGAATGTATGTCCTGTATTGTACAAAGAGTTTCAGTGCGGTTACGCCTGATGTTTATCTAGCTTACTTTGTTCTTTAAGGAGATTTATGTAAACTTTATTGTGGACACAGGATTGAATTATCACCAGGAAGGTTTTCACCAAATTGTGCTGTGCTTAAATACGCCTAAAATAAACCACTCAGGTCAGACTCCTGATGTTTGAACTCACATCAGCTACTTAGCCATGTTGAACCGAACTACCTTCTTGTCCCCTGTGGATCGTCACTCTGTTGACCACGGTGGTCACAGAGACCCCAGATACATGTTTGTGTGTGTATATTTATGTGAGCATACAAGTGTGTATACATATATAATGTGTGTATTTTGTGCACGTTTATTTATATGTACATTTGTATGTTTATGTTTGTGTATACTTGTCTATTTAGGTATATAAACATGGATATTTATATGTATGTATGCATGTGTATATTTGTGTGTGTCCCTCTGATAGATTTTCGTGTTGCCCAGGTTAGCCTCACACTCCCTATGTAGCACAGAATACTATACCCTCCTGACCTTCTCTCCCCGACCTAAATCCTGGGGTAACAGACATGCACTGCCAGCCTGGCTTGTACAGTAGTGGGGATTGTACCCCAGTGCTTGTGCATCCTAGGCAAGGGCTTTACCTACTGAGCCACATCCCCAGCCTAGACAGGAGCTTAAAAGTCCAGTTCCTGTATAACATGATAACGAATGGATACAAACAACATCCCAGTATGTCTACCAACCCTCAGGATTGGGTTCTCTCTGCTTCCAGTCCTGGATGTGTTTGTGTCCAGTCCTGCGTGTGTTGGATGTCCTCACAGTGGCAACTTTGTGCAGGGGAATTGTAGGAGGCCTTGTTCTGGCCTCTCACCGCTGAGTTCTGCGAACTGGTGCTACGATGTCTTTGGGTGAACATTTCACCCCGTGTGACAGGGATCTCCCCAGTCACTGGCTCGGCCCCTCACTTCCCACCATTCTTTTCATGATTTCCCATTTTGAAATCCTGCTGGGCTCAGAATGTCCCTTTGAGCACAGCATCTCCAGTCCCCGGTTAGGGAGGGACTGCGTGGAGCTGACGAACGTGGCTGTGGCCTCTGAGCTCTATTGTTGGGTGGTATGAAGGCCCTTCTCTAGAGCTGATGTGATACTTTGATGTGGGCCTGTCTTCTCCTGCCAGCTGGGAGCAGCAGGGTAACGGAATACTTGGTGTCCGATGTGGGGAGTGAGATTTGGGTTTGAAATGCATTTTCTCCGCGCAAACAAGATGAGACCCAGTGATGTGGCCGAGGCTGTTAGACGCTCACCTTTCCGAAAAGATGCCATCTGCTCGGAACAAGAGTAGGCTCTGACATGCAGGTGCCCCCAGGGAAGCAGCCATGGCAGCAGCTGGTGTTAATGAGCGGGCATGAGGGACTGCTCCCGGCGAGCCCTCCTCTGAAGTCACTGCCACTAGTGGCAGCGCAGGGGACACAAGGGCTCTTTCTCTGGGCTGGGGCAGCCTGGTTTAGGACTCAGGTCACTGCAGTAGAGGTCTCAAGTCCTGCCTGCACCACCAGTGTCATTGTCGGATGATGTCCAGGACCCTGAGGCTGGCCCTGCTGGCTTTGGCCTGTACTGTGGACCTGAGCTGGGCCAGTGGCTTCACAGGTGAGGGATCTAGGGGTAAGTTTGGAGAAGGGGCTTCCTAGGAGTGGGTCTCAAGAGGACAGTGCCTGCTGGGACCCTCTAAGGCCACAAGCATCTTCTCTGAGAGAGGCATCCTCTTCTGACTTGCCACACTGGCTGTACCAATAGCAACAGGCTACCGGGGAGCCTGGGTCTGCGTACTGGGTATGCGCTCAGAAAGAGGGAGGATGCCTCTGGTGCCCAGGGTCCATGGGGTTGAGACACGGATTTTGAGCTGGGTCTGTGCCTGAAGCATTGCATTTCTGGAAGACCTGATGTGAGCAATGGGCTCCTAGGTGCCCAGCGGAAAGGTCTTGCGTATCAGTCAGGGAAGTCAGGGTGGTTCATGTTCTCAGGTACAGAATTAGAGTGAGCCATGTAGCAAGGGTGCTGGTCAAAGAGTGAGGAAGTACATGGCTTACAAAGTTGCTTAAAAAAACACTTGGTGGGGTTGAGATGCAGCTCAGCGTAGCCAGCATGTGTGAGCCCCGGCTCCTATCCCCAGCACCTCCCAAACCAAACCAACGTAGCCAAACCTGTATCCCTGAAACCGCAGACCTCAAGAAATTGATTGTGAACCTTGTGAGTCTTTTTTTCTTTTTCTCTTAAAATCTATCTGACTTGGTTCGGAATTCAGAGACTCCGTCTGTTTCTAAAGTCACCTCCGTTTCTGTGCCAGGTCCATGTTGTTCTCTATGTAGGGAGGGATTTTGTTTGGTGCGGTGTGTATGAGCCACAAAGTTTAGTCACGGGAAGAGTGGGGCATCGGGAAGCTCATAGAGATCCTCTCAGTGTTCGTGTGAGGCCACGGGACAGAGCACGGCCTTCCTTGGGGTTACCTGCTTGCTCGCTCTTCACCAGGAGAGCCATCGAGCCCGCACTGACTCACCGCTGTGTGGAAGATATTGACTTACTGCTTTACCCTGAAACTATAGGACGTGGCGTTTATTTTATGAATGACAGGATTAGGACTCTGAGAAGTATAACACATTCTTGGGGACTGCTCCATCCCCAGCACATAGTTTGGCGTTGATAGCTTTGTGTATATGCAGACAGAGGGATGCTTTGGGTATTTGAAATGACAAGGCCTTGGCCAGGACTGGCGAGGCTGGGTCTAAGTCCCGTCCAACAGTAGAGACCTCTGACTTGCCTCCCATATACTTCTGACCCAGTGCTCTTCCTTCCCCCCCCCCCCCCCCTCGACGCATCCTCGACGGTCTCCTCTGTAGATAACGGCCTCTCGCTGCTGAGCTACCAGCTGTGCAGCTACCCAGTGACCCGAAATGTCCAGAGGCTGCAGGAGGTGAAGGCCTCACACACAGCCTATGTGCACTGTGGAGCATGGATCCCGTGGAAAAAGTGTCCCAAGACCGTGTACCAGACCCAGTACCTGCCGGTGGAGGTCCCTGAGTCCAGGAATGTGACCGGCTGCTGCGACGGCTTTGAGCAGCTTGGCTTCTACTGTGTTCTGCGTGAGTCCAGGGCAGTGGGGCAGGGTGGGGCGCTGAGCTGGAGGGAAGAGTTGCTGGGATTGTGTGTGCAGGCCTGCGAGGTCTCCCTGAACTACTAGAGCATTGCTGTTCAGTCTTGATTGTACCCCAGGAACTTCTAGGATACTCTTCACAGCTCCTCCACCCCCAGTTTCCGATTCCATAGCTCAAGTAAAGTACAGGGGTCATCAGTCTTTTAACATGTGCTGGAGAGACACCATGGGTAGAGAGCCTCAGTGGTCCTCAGACCTCACCGGACAGCGAGGGCTTCTGTGCACCATGCAGTGAACTCAGAGCTGGTAACGGAACTGATCTGAGCCCAGCATGAGCTTCTGTGGCTTTTATAATGTTGAATGGTTCTAACACAGTGGCATTTGAGACCCAGTGTCCCAGCCTTTCCAGCAGTGGAGGCCGCCTGCCCCCTCTTTCCAAGGCTACTGTGAAACTCTTGTCTCAGCTGGAATCCTAATCTAGATTCCACTAGAAAGAGATGGAGGGGCGGGCTGGGCCTCCTGCCTCTCTGCCCAGAGGACCCTGTATCCTCCACCTCCCTGGTGCAGGCTCGTAGGTGGTGCAGGCTGGTTACCCAGGTGATCCATATGGCTGCCCACATCACGGCTGCAGCTGGGTGCGGCTGGGGATTCAGGGCCCAGCTCCTAACTTGGGAGGGTCTCCTGGCAAGGGACATGGTGTGGGAGACCATCTCCTGGTAGGCAATGCAACTGGACTCAGGCTGGGGCTCAGCTCTGGCCTGTGTGAGCCCAGTCACAATGTAACTGGGACAGTTGTGTCCGTCACCACAAAGGTAGGAAGATGGGGATAGAAGTTTTACATTGTGTTGTATTCGGAGAGCCTGCGGTCTGGGGAGGAGGGTGGTGGCAGCCCCAAGAGCTGCCTGCCTCTTACCCCTAACCAACAAGCTTTATAGGGATGGGTGAAAGGTGAGTCAATCATCCTGAGTGGTTGCCCTCTAGCCAGGTGGTCAGCCTTGTCGCAGGTGTCCCTGCCTCCCTCCTTATGAGTCCTGGCATTCCTCCTCCATTCTGTGGACATTTGGGTTCAGATGCTGTTTTCATTTTTAAGTGGCTTCAGAGGTTGGGTATAGTTCGGTGGTAGAATGTGTGCCTTAAAAATGCAAGACTCAGGATTCAGTGCAAGACTCAGGATTCAGTCCTCAGCTCCAGGGGGAGAAAACACATAATTATTTACGTGTGTGTGTGTGTGTGTGTGTGTGTGTGTTCAGAGGACAACTTCTGGAAACTACTTCTCTCCTTCCACCATGTGGGTCCTAGGACTCAAGCTCAGGTTGACGCTCTGTATCAAGCCCCTTAATCCACCTCGCCAGCTCAGGAGGTGCTGCTTTGTAACACACTGAGTCAAGTGAGTGTCTGCCAGTATCAACCTCACATGTATCCAAGGACATCTAGGTTAGGGATAGGGTAGGGGTTCACTCAGAACAAATGAGCCATGAAGAGCTGTTGTGCTAGGTTATTAATAAGACACAAAATCATAATACAATATGCAATACAAAAAGAGTGCCCTGTCTTCCCTCCTACCCCCAATGAAAGACATTTTCTCATTCACCCAGTACAGCCTATAGGGGAACCTGAAACCTGAGGCTAGTAGTCCCAGAGAGGGTAGCAGGGGAGGCATCTCAGGACATGGAGGACATCGGTGATCATGGACACAGAGGCTCCTTTGTCACCCTCAGTAACTTGATGGGTCCTCTCCCCTCCTAGAGACCTCCATTCAGGAGAAACCAGGATTGGTGGCTCCGTTGCAGGAAAGGATTCCAGGATGGGGCAGTATCAGAGAGTCAGCGACAGGTTATGGGTCATCTTGTCCCTAAGTTAGCAAGCCTTATTGGTCATCTTTGAGACATCGGTAGGAAAAGACATGTTATCCAGGCTGGGCAGTTTGTGCTTCCTCAGTGGGGCTTGCGGTCTCTTGGCTATCAGCAGAAAAGATGAAATCGGCACCTTCCCTTCCTTCCCCCTCCAGGGCACATTCCGGGAGGTCAAGCTGCATGCAGCAGCCCCAGTTCTGCTTGGCCCCTCTCCACCTGCCAACAATTTGGCAATCTCGCTCCTTGTAAAAATCCAGGACCTGCTGGGTCAGGGCACCTCCAACCTCCCATCTCCATGCAGCTGCCCAGGGACCCCTAGTGCTGACCAGTCTGAGGAGCAGAGGAAGGAGAGCCAAGAAAGACTGTGCCCGCCAGCTGGGGATTCCTTAGCCCTGGGCAGCCTTAGAGGCTGTGGTCCAAATAGGAATCTCCGGGCAGCCTGGCTGAACTGGAACTCACTGGGTTGCCAGGCGCTGAGCAGGGCTGCTTCAATGTTTGCCTTGAGTTGAGAAAGGAGAGATTTTTAACTTTCTACCAAGTTGACTGGTTATTCCTTTAGGGCATAGGGTCAGTCACCAGCCCAAGTGGGAAGGGGAATTCCCAGCTGCAGTCAGATTGAGATGAAGAACTTCTGTTCCAGAACATTGCTGCTGTTGGGCAATCATTGTTAGAGCCTGGTTTTTTTTTTTTTGTTTGTTTGTTTGTTTTGAATTTTCGAGACAGGGTTTCTCTGTAGCTTTTGGTTCCTGTCCTGGAACTAGCTCAGGCTGGCCTCGAACTCACAGAGATCCGCCTGCCTCTGCCTCCCGAGTGCTGGGATTAAAGGCGTGCACCACCACTGCCCTGCTGTAAGAGCCTGTTTTTTCCTTTTTTCCTTCCTTCCTTCCTTCCTTCCTTTCTTCCTTCCTTCCTTCCTTCCTTCCTCCCTTCCTTCTTTCCTTCCTTCGTGTGTGTGGAGCCAAAGAACAACCTCAGTTGTCACCCTTGGATACCACCCATCTTTTGTTGAGCAGGGTGGTATCCTGGCGGGCTCTCCAATCCAGCCATGCTGACTAGTCAGTGAGCCCTAGGGATCCAGCTGTCTTTGACTCCCAACTGCTGGGCTGACAAGTGTGTCCCACTACACAAGGCTCTTTTTACCTTTTCACCTGGGTTCTGGGACTTGAACTCAGGTTCTGCTGCTTGTGTAGCAAGCATATTGCCCATCTCTCTAACCTGGAGCCAGTTTCTATGGGGTCAGCTATATTTTCTTCTTTATTTCACTAAAATAAAGAATGGAGTTTCGAATTGTCTTAAATCTACAGAAGATGTGCCTAGATCCTGCAGCTCAGTTTCCTCCACTATCAGCATCTGTCCTGACTAAGACATGCTTCACAGCCCACGAGTGTGACTGATGTCAAACCTCAGGCTGAACTTGGACTTTGCCCACCCTCTATTGCCTTTCTATGTCTCAGGACACCTTATCCCCACATCCTCCTGCCTGCTTGGCCCGAGGCCCTTGGTGATCATGTCAGATGGGCAATGTCCAGCTCTTTCATACAGACAGCACAGGGATCCCTCAGGCCTTCTTTGACCTCCGGCTCCTCAGAACTTGACCCAGTTCAATCCTTTCTCTGGAACCTGGACACACTGTATATTCAGTCACCCAGATGCCAAGGAAATGAAGGACAAACCCACAGCTTGGAATTGACAGAGTTGCTAATCGTGGCCTTCAGCTGTATGCGTCCGACAGCAAGATGCAAACCCGGGATTCCTGAGCAGGGCCTGTACCACTTGATGTGTTGTTTGCTTTGGCTGAGCATCTGTCCCTGGGACTTGTTCCCAACAGAAGTAAGGCCACGGCTCTCTTCATTAGCTACAGAAAGTTCCATAGACCCTGGGAGACCCAAGAGGATTATCTCTGAGACTGCAGCATCTCCAGGCTGCCTTTATCCCCCCCAGGGCCCTGCTAACCTTCCTCCACCCTCATGGGGTGCTGTCTTAGTTACTCTATTACTAGAAACCATGACCAAGGAAACTTATAAAAGAAAGCATCTATTTGGTGCTTACTGTTTCAAATGGCCAGCATCCATGACCATCATGATGGGGAGCATGGCAGTAGGCAGGCAGACATAGCCCTGGAGCGGTAGCTGAGAGCTTACATCTTGATCCACAAACACGTGGCAGAGAAAGCCTAATTGGGAATGGGGAAGGTTTTTGAAATCTCAAATGTGATACATCCAATGGCATACCTTCTTCAGCAAGGCCACACCCCCTAATCCTTCCCAAACAGTTTCACCAACTGGGGCCCAAGTATTCAACTATATGAATCTATGGGGATCATTCTCACGCAAACCACCACAGGTGTCTTCAGATTGGTTAGCACCATCTAGGATTTCTGCCACTTGGAATGGCACCCCTGGACACTGGAGTGTTGTTAGATACATGGACCTTTAAATGTGTCTGAGTAGGAACATAATAGGTTTGAATGAAACCCATGGTGGCATGTGCCTATCATCAGATGCCGGACACATATGCTGCCAAGTCCCCAGCCTTCCTTGGCACTGGCATTTTCCTCCTGCTGCTCTCCCCACTGACCTTTGCCCTTATGCTCACATCTCAGCCCCCTTTCCCCTGGGGAGTGAGACTTTTGCTCATCCAAGCCAGCTGCTCCTTCTTGGCTGCCCTTGGCAGTCTGCTCTGCTGTGTGTGAGCATCTTCTGCCTCTGGCCAAAATGTTCCACTGTCCCCCAGCAGAGTGTGTTCCACCAAAACATGTCCCCTGAGTTCCAGTTTTGCCTCTTGTACTTTCTATGCTTGGAGGAGTGCACACTCCCTGGAATCCTGTTCCCCTGTGGGTCCTATGGACTCTTAAGTAGTGTCAGCCTTTCTAATAGATCTAAAAGCAATTTTCCCTGAAACCCCACCATGGCTTTCCACAGGTTCTGAGCTCTAGGTGCCCTGCATGTAGTTCTGGTTGGTCTCACTTCCACCTGAAGCTGTATTAATGCTTCATTCACAGAGAATGCATGTGAATGTCCTTTCAGCACTATAGCTACAGCCTGGCCAGCTGCTTCAGTCAACTTCTTGTGCCAATGCAATGGAGTGCCACAACCTCTCCACACTGGTGTCTGGTAGGAGGAGGTCAGATGGCATGCAAGGCTAGACTGGACCTTTCCAAGGCTGCTGTCCCCAGTGTCCATCCCTTCCCACACCATGCTCCCAACTAAGAGTAAAGAGCCAGGATGGTACCCAGAGCAGCTCTCCAGCCCTCCTGAGGCTGCTCCTTCTCTCAGCACCCCATCCCTCTGCCTATACATCTTAGGCAACTATGACCTCATTTGGCCCCTTTGGCCAGCTGGTTCCACATCCCATGGATCGCCACAGCAGGACTCAATGGGGCTCCGACTCCTCGCAGGCTTTCAGAAGCCACTATAAGAAGAGTCATTCTGCCGCTTGTCCCCAGGACTCAAGACAACAAAGGGAAAGGAGCAGATGCTAAGGTCATGGCATTGTCTCCAGCGGGGAAGTTCATTGTTGAGACTCCAGCAGCTCCCGTGCTCAGAAAAGCCCAAGGAGCACAAGAGAGGAGAGTACGGAGCTGGACAAAGTGTCTGAAGGCCTGGAGGCACCAAAAGTGTCTCTGTCACCCCAAACCCAAGCCCCCAGGCCTCACAGGAAGTACTCTGTGGCACCCCTTCTGTCTCCACTCCAGCCATGGTGGTGTGTCAGCTTCCTGTGGTCCTTGGCCAGCTGTCACCTCAGAGCTGAGAACTGCAGGGCTGTTCGGAACTTCCCTTGACCCAGGTGCAATCCTTTCCAAAGGGTGACTTCTTCTGAGTCCACCTGGCCCCACCCAACACTTGAGGCTCTGACCCTGCTTGCTTTCCAAGGGTTTGCTAAAGTGTTTCCTTTGGAATTTATTTCCTAGAGGTGAGGCATAGTCATGGCGGTCCAGGCACAGAACAACTTGTCTGGCTTCCAGCAAGTGCTCAGTAAACGTGTGTGTGTGTGTGTGTGTGTGTGTGTGTGTGTGTGTGTGTGAGAGAGAGAGAGAGAGAGAGAGAGAGAGAGAGAGAGCGAGAGAGTAAAAGAGTATGTGTGTGAGTGTGAGTATGTGTGGTGTGCATGCGTACACATGACCGCTCTGCGTGCACATGCATGAGTAAGCTACTATTAGGAACAGAAGTAGCACTGGTCCTAGAAGAGGGTGGAGGTCCCTGCAAATGGACTTCTTAGGCTTGAAAGGCCAGGAAGCACTTGGGACCTCCCCTGAACCTGCCTTGATAGGAAAGAAGTGCAATGGTGTCAGAGCCAGTGTAGGCAAGCCTCCCACAAGGCCAGCCAGGAGGCCTCTGCCCCACTGGAGAAACTGACCAGGACACGTGGAACCTCTGATATTCAACACAGAATCAACTACGGATGTGTCAGTTCATCCAAGCTGAACTCTTCATGGGTTTCTGTTGTTGCTTTAAAAAAAAGATTTATTTATTTATTTATTTATTTTACTTTAGTGTATGTGTGTTCCCATGAGTATGCCATAGGTGTGGAATTCTGCGGAAGTCAGAAGAAATGGGAAGAGAGTGTCAGATTCCCTGGAGCTGGAGTCACAGGTGACTGTGAGCCACCATGAGGGTGCTAGGAACTGACCATTGGTCCTCTGCAAAAACAGCAAGGACTCTGAACCCCTGAACTACTTCCCTAACCCATTTGTTGCATTTGAGACAGGGTCTGATGTATTCCAGTATGGCCTCCAACTTGCTATATAGCTGAGGGTAACCTTGAACTTTAGATTCCCCCGACCACTGCATTTCTGGACATGTGCCACCACGCCCTGTTATAACAGGTGCTGGGGAACTGAGCCCAGGTCTTCCTGTTGGCAAAGCTCTCTGCCAGCTGAGCCTGCTTTTGATGCTAATATGGTTCATCTGTATCACTCCACCAGCCCTGAACCGGTCCAGAGAGTTTGCATCAAGACCTGGGGTCTGCCCAACGGCAGAACCAGAATCATCTAGCCCACCGTGCAGCTTGGACACTGACTGCTCCGGACTTCAGAAGTGCTGCTCCTGGTCAGGGGCCCGCCGCTGTGTGGCCCCTGCACCCACAGGTAGGGCTGCACCGAGGAGGGTCTCAGAAAGACAGTGACCCAGGGAAAGGTGCAGGGGGCTTAGCAGCCATATTTGCCTGGAATAGGGCAGGGGGTCTGCTGTGCCCATGGCTGGCCCCTAGAGCCTCCAGGGAGTTAAATGAGGGGGAAAGCAGCCGTGAAGGGGCAGAGCCATGGTCCTTTGTCAGGTTGGGCAACTGCAAGTGGGCTTGTTGGAACTGTGTCCCCTGAAGAAACACAGGCCTGGTTGTTCTGCACACATCTTGTAGCTCTGAGCAGTGGCTGGTGGACTGGCACATGTGTCCATGCTTCAGGAATGTTCTCTCTGCCCAGAGGCTGTACTATGGACAAAGTTGGATCAATGTTCTCACTTAAGAAATACAATTTAGGAGGTTAGATTTAGGGTTCTTGTTTTGAAAAGAAAAAAATGGGGAAATGCTGTGGTATAATGCTCTTGTACCCTGTAAAGATTTATCACTCATATAGGCAGATATGCACATATACCACATATACTATATTGTCCAATTAGCATATACTCATAAAATTAGCATATATAATATCAAGGATTAATATATTATAATTCTTCTATATGTCAGTTATACTCCTGGACTGCGGCTGGCTCTCCATATCTAAGGGTTCTGTATCCAAATTATTTAAAACATTTGAAAAATGTTTTGTTGCTAAAGTGTCCTATACAGATAGACCTGAGGTGGTCACATTGGTACTGGACTGTAAATGGAAGTTTCTGTCCGACCTGGTCCCACAGTCATTCAGTCTCAAATAAACAAACACACAGAAGCATATATTAATTAAAACTGTTTGGCCTATTGCTCAGGCTTATTACTAACTAGCTCTTACAACTTAAATTAACTCATAATTCTTATATATGTTTAGCCATGTGGCTTGGTACCTTTTCTCAGTAAGGCATCTTGCTTCCTCTGTGTCTGGCTTGAGACTGTGTCTCTACCTTTCCTCTTCCCAGAATTCTCTGCCTGGTCACCCTGCCTATACTTCCTACCTGACCAATCAGCATTTTATTGAACCAATATGAGTGATAAATCTTTACAGTGTACAAAGCATTATCCCACAGCACTGGACCTATAAGGACATTGATAAAAATCATTATTCCTTAAACAATCCACATACAGAGACTGACAGACATTAGCAGTGTTTGAAGCACTCTCAGCCATCCAAAGACAGTTAGTGTGTTTGGGAGGGAGTATGCTTACATGCAAACATGTGTCCACTTTAAGTATTTTTAAAATTTTTATTCATTTAATTTTTTATGTGTATTAATGCTTTGCTTGCATGTGCAATACCCACAAAGGCCAGAAGAGGGCATTTGATCCCCTGGGACTAGAGTTACAGATGGCTGTGAGCAGCCCTGTGGGTGCTGGATATCAAACCCAGGTTCTCTGGAAGAGCAGCCAGAGCTCTAGCTCTGAGCCAATTCTCTAGTCAGACTTGTTCAGTTACATAGGGGACTTGAACATCTGTAGACTTTGGTGGCCCCTGAAGTCTTGGAACCCACGTTCACCATTGTTGAGGGTAACTGAATACACTATGGTGTTACATGCACTACACGTGACAGCAGCCATCTATATGTAGTCAGTCATATATGTCTCTCTAATGGCAGGTGCTTACACTATTCACCTAGACAACAAGGAATATCTAATATAAACAATGTTACATAGAATATTGCATATCATATTACTTGCTATCTGCATAAGGAAGCAATGGTAGATTGGACTGATTGTGTATTACATTATAACAAAAGCTGTAGCTGAACTGTGTTCCAAGGGTCTCTTGTCGAGGGAGGATCTTTGGCTCTTTACAGGTGGGAGTCAGTGGTCTTTGCAGCAACAGGAAAGAGAGGGCTGAGAGCAGCAATGGGAAGCCCCTGCAGGCTTTTTATGCAGAGCGACAGTCTCTTGCCTTCCAGGCCTGCTGACCACTGGTGGCCTCTTGTGGCCCTGCCCTGTCCCCAGGACTGTAACTCACTGGCATCTGCCCTCCAGGTGCAGAGAGGATCCCAGTGAGCTGGTACAATGTGACTGTGTTGGTGAAGATGGGCTTCGAGGACCTGCAGCGAGAGGACCCTGGCTTCCGGGACCACACACGCCTGCTCTACTCTTTGGTGAGTGTGACAGTCACGAAAGTCATGTTTCTCCCTGGGGAGATAGGATGGGGTGACATCCCACAAGTGTTCTGAATGACTGTCTCTGAGCCAAACTTGAACTCTTAACTAGGGTAAATCAGCCTCACTGGTGGAACCCCAACCCATCGTGCATAGGAAGAACAGGAGTTCAAGGCATCCACAACCCTGTAGCAAGTTCAATGTCAGCCTAGGCTGTGTGAGTCTCTGGCTCAGAAAAACAACAACAGCAAACCAGAGAGACACACAGGGGAGTGGTTGTGATCAGGGTGTGATTTGTGTGAGTCCTTGCCTGTGTATCTGAAGCCACACTTGGTATGTGGGATGGGGAAATCCTTCTTGAGACGGTCAGCTGAGAAGATGAAAAGGGTGTCCTTGTCAGTGTGGCCTTGGCCGCTCAGTCCCCAAACCCTGAAGTCCTCATTCTCACTTTGTAAGATCCTGATCTGTCTTGTTTGGGCCAGGAGCATCCCCCAGTGTGACAACCAAACATATCTCCAAGCAGGGTCTACTGGGGCCAAAGCCATACTCTTATAGACTCCCCTGCATGGTGGCCACACCTACAGACATGCCACAGCTATTTCCAGTCATCTTATCTCTCTATGCCAGACTTGGGAATGCTGGGATAGTAGGTCCTTCTGCCCTCCTGCTGTGCCTTTAAACAGCAGACTACTCTGATGGCCAGCTGTGGATAGGAGTGGCCTAGTAGGGTTTGCCACCCTGCTGCTGGCTCACCACAGGCTATTAAGCCCAGCAAAGACAGACAGTTTCCATTCTGTACCTTTAGGGCCCACAGATAATGCCCCACGAGTGTACAAATGAGAATGGCATCTGCCCTCAGTTACTACTCTTGCCAGCCAGGTAGCCTAAAACAGACGGGGCACGCTTACCTTCCCTAGTCACTGGGAAGTGACGCTGCCCTTGGAGTCTTCTGCAACCTCACCCCTGCTCAGACATTCCCTGATGCCCATTGCTGGAGAGACCCCTGTTTGTTCTTGGTTTGTTAAGGGGCTGCCCAACTGGCCACTAGGAACACAGCTCTGCAGACAGACCACCAGGGTACAAACCCCAATCTGGCACCTGCTGCGTGTGTGACCTTGGATAAATTATTTCCCCTCTCCGTGCCACAGATAACCATCCATTCAATGTGAATTACCATAATTCTGTGTGAGATGGCGGCTGGGATTTAAACAATATCCATGACCAAATGCCTGCCTGAGTGACTCAAGGCTCACAGTTTGAAGGTGCAGTCCCTGGGATGGTGCCATGCACACTCAGGGTGGGTCTTCCCTGCTCAGTTAGCCTCACTAGGAAGCTCGCTCACAGACACACTCCACCACTTGACTCTCAGGTGACCAGGTCCTAACAGGTTGACAGAACTAACCACCACAGCCTGTAAGGCGTTTGTTTGCTGCGGTTTCTGACACGCTGGGTCCTGGCACGGTGTCACTTGCATTCATTATTTCTCTAGCCCTGCAGTTGCCTCCCTCCCGAGGGAGCCAACTTGCCCAGGCAGGCTCCCAGCTGCAGCAGGTGCTGGCTCCTGGGCTCCCGACTGAAGGGTTCCAGTGGGGGTGGGCGGGTCTTCGCTTGCCTCCTGAGTTACTTGCACTCAGTCTCCTGGGAAGGGCTCCGGGTTTCTGCTCCCACGGAGGCAGGTCTGTTTACAAACCTGCTTTGGAGACAGCGGCCAGAGTGTGCAGTGCCAACTTGCCTGGTTTCCATAGGGTTGAGGATGCTGAGATGTAGGCTAGATAGTAAGAATCCTACTGGATGCGCCAAAGAACGGTCAATCAAAATAAAAAGATCAGACATGACAGCAGAAGACCATCTCCTCTAGTGACTGCTCCTTGATTCTAGGTTCCCGTGTCCTTGTCATTAGGTGGAGGAGGCCAGATTCCTACAGGTGAGGGGACTCAGGTCGTGAGGCCACAACTTTGTAGGCAACCTGGGGCTGCCCCAGCAAAGAGTCACTATCAATAGATGGCTTACCAGAAAGGTTCTCTGTGGCCCCATGGGCCGGAAAGTCTGTGTCAGGGTATCAGCAGTGTTCCTTCTGAGGTCAAGAACCCCCAAAGACCCAAAGTCCATCCTCTTGGCTTCTGTTGCCATCTGTCCCCCAGTCTCTTCACGTTGTCCTTTCTCTGAATGTGTTCAGCTGTGTGTCCATGTTTCTCCTTCTGATTGGTCAAGATGGGGGGGGGAGTGTCTCACTGTGTTTCTGTGGCTGCACTCAGACTCCAGGGCCCTAGCGACCTTGCTTCCTCGGCCTCTCAGGGGGTTCGTATACAGGCATGTGCCACTGCACCCAACTCAGATTCCCCACTTTGGATAAGGACAGCATCAAGGTCCACCCTCAGCTTAGCCAGTCACACTTATGTCCAACCGAGACCATGTCTGGGACTGGAAGCCAGGGCTTCACATCTGAGTTTGGGTAGAGGTGGATCTCCCAGCAGGGTGGAGGGGGTGGGGGTGGGGCTCCAGAAGCCAAGGGCAATGTGGTTTTCTCTGAAGGTCACAGTCAAGAGCAGCTGTCCTCCGCCTGTCCTCCCCCTCCTGCTCTTCTTCATCATCTTCTTTTAACAATCTCACGTAGCCCGGGCTAGCCTTGAACTCACTAGGTAGCCAAGGATGGCCTTGAACTTGCTTCCCCTAGATCCACCTTCTGAGTGCTAGGATTCCAGGTGTCTGTGGTGCTGGGGATCAAACACAGACTTCCTGCACACTAGCAAACACTCTCCCAACTGATCAGAACCCCAGCCCCATACTGGTTCTTTACTGTCTGGGAGACAGGTGCGTATGTGTGTACGTGTATACCTGTGGACAATTTGTTTCAGCTTCTCGCTCTTCTGGCTCCTTCCCCCTACACAGGGTGCCCCTCTACCATTTCTGTTTCCCAGGTTACCAGTGCCTTGCAGCCTCTGAATTCATCTGTACACTACCTGAACTCCGCTGTTGGCAGGGACATCTTCACCACAGTGTCGTGGCTGCTGCTGGGCCTTCCACGGCGCTTGACGGTAGCCAATGTCTCTGCCACTTTGGATGACGTGGTGAATCGAGTCTATGAAGTGGTCAGCATTCAGGTGCAAGGTGGGCCTGCCCTGTGGGGACACTGCCAAGCTGACTGGTCCTAGACACAGTGTTCAAGCAGGCTGGGCTCAGGTGTGGGAGACCCCTGGTTCAGAAGTATTGCTCTGCAGAACGTGGGTGTGGTTCAGCTCATCTTCTGCTCCTTCTAGACCGAATCAAGTTTAAACTCAAGTTTCTATGTGCAGATTTGGGGAAATTATCCTGCTCCATAAGTGCCTGTGCTGTGTCCCCCTACACACACACACACACACACACACACACACACACACACACACGATGTCTCTTTCACTCCCTTCCCTCCTCCCTAGAAACCCACTACCTGCCCATGGTCCACTACACTGTAGCTACAGATAACACATGAAAAACTCAAAATCTAGATATGTTTCAGAAATAAAAATTATAACATGTAAGGCTAATAAAAAAACCCAGCATGTCAGGGATTGGTAAAGGTTTTGGAAAACACTTTATGTCTGTCTCAGTTCCTGAGGCCTGCTGCTGGCATGTAGCAGTCAGTAGTATGTGAGTGAGCAAAAGAGCTGGGGGCTGGGGACAGGAGCAGCCAGGCTCCTGGCCAGCCTTGCCTCTGGTGTCTGTCATGTTGGGGGTGGAGCCCATGACCGAAGCACTCACCTGGTCCTTCTGAAAGTGTCTCTCCGTCACTGGTCACAGGCTCATTCCCAGAGGCCAGTGAGCATCCTTAGCTAGAACCTGTTACAGATGTGGGCTTTCACTACGTGGTTTGGGGGAGGTTTGCATGGACAAGGTTGGGTGCAACTAGTTTATCTCTATAAATCATGTGCATAGAAAATAGAAAATGCATGGAGATGAATAACTAGCAACCACACACTTATCTTCCTCCTGGAGAAGAGGTTGGTGCTTTGTGAGTGACCGTGAACTTTCCTGCTTATGCTTAAACATACTTAGCTGTGACGTGACCTCGCTTTGCTCTCCTATCGTGGGACAATGACTTTTTGAGAGGCAGATATTGTGGGGCCTTGGAGGGGAGGATGACAGACCCAAGAGTGAGTGCCTGGACACCTGGAAATGTTGGGGGATGTTTCAGATCCTTTTTAACTTAGGAAGCTTCTGGTCCCCTTGGTTTATTCTTGGGCCATGATGCTATGACCGTGGAAAGACAGGCCAGCCCCAGAACATCATGGGGAATGAGGAAGTAGCTGCGATGTTATCTCACCTGTCCCCCTTTTCCACAGATGTGAACGAGTGCTTGCACAGGGAGCTCCATGCCTGCTCTGGAGGAGAGCAGTGTCTGAATATTGAGGGCTCCTACCAGTGTGTCCCTACCCAACCGCCGAACCGCACAGATGAAGGTAATACTGGAGTCCTCAGATGGCATGAGAGTGACAATGGCCATGTCTAGGGTAGATGACCTACAGACCTCAGCTACTCATGTTAGCCTCCTATTTGGGTGTGAGGTCTAGGCTCCAAAGCTTGGAGCAGAGGAGGGTCACAGAAGGCTGGGAGGTTGAAGAGGATTTGAAGAGTTGTGGGCAGATATGACATACTTGGTTCATTGGCGCTCAGGCCACTGGGCAGGAAGACAGAAGCAGGCACTTAGGCACATGCCAGCTCACATAAGCCACATATAGGTGGGTGCAGGTACAAACATGAGCCAGTAAACAGGCCTCAGGCCTACAGGCAGACACATATAGGCAGGCTGGTGAAGGCACAAAGCTCTGACCCCAAGGCCATATTTATGTAGAATCACGCAAAAGTGGCATTCTTCTGGAAATAGTTAGATTCCATCACAACTTACTTTCCGTATATCTGCATCAGTCATTCCATGATGACTTATGTCCCCTGCCTCAGATGACCAGCATTAGGCGTCTGGACCTGGAAATCCATCGGCACTATGTTGTCTAAACACACTGGCATGTACAGCCTTCTCGTCCCGTTGCTCCCAGGTGTAGGGTGGCTACTGGGTCCCTGCAGCCGTGTCTGCTCTCCTAGCGGGTAGTCCCCCTTGCATTCATCCTTTGATATGGCAACTGTCTGGCTAATGCACGGCCTGCATTGGAAATGCCAGGACCAGATCAGAGCCCTGCTCTCAGATGCTCCCTGGAGAGCAATGGCTCCTGAATAGGACAGTCCCTGATCCCTGAGTTTCTGAAGAGAGAGAGGGAGTCAAGAAATATTTATACCAAACCCGAAGGGATGAGCTGGGTTAATCTCTGGCTTTGTATGGGTAACAAAAAGGCAAAGCCAGGAGGCTATAGGGGGCTTTGAACACACACGCACATGCACACAGACATACACGGACACACACACACACACGCATGTGCACACGCACACAGACACGCACGTGCGCACACACACACACACACACACACAGATCTACAGCAGCTCTCCCACTCCCACCCCGCTTGGCAGCCTACCTCTCTTCTCACCTCCTGTAAGCATTGAACCTTCATCATAGTCACACTAGGGTGCATCTCTAAGAGATAAGAGATGCTAATATCCAAAATAACATACCCTCTGACTGCCCCTTTGTAGCCAAGGTAACTTCTCCTTAATATCCAGCATCCAGTCTCTGAAATGTGTTCTCTTCATTGTCATCTTAAAGTCTGAACTTACATTTCAGCTGTGTTCACCTCTCATCTCTGACAGCAATGGAGTTGTTTACTTTAACATACATTGTTTTCCCTCTGCCTCTGCTTCCAGCCCTTTGTCATCGCAGCTCTTCGGACCTCTTAGCCCAGAAGGTGCATCTTGGTGCAGTGTAGGGACAGACTAGAGACCTAGACAGAGACCCCCATGCCATCTTATGGGCTGGACTAAATGACTCTCACTCTCTGGAACATCCCATTCATGGGATCCTGTGATGGGCACTTGGCTTTGGAGTAGGAACTCCCCTCTCATTGGTCCCAGACCCTGTTAGTACCTGGAGAGGCTAAAGGCACTTCAGAGAAAGGTCCCAGCATATATACACATAGTCAATGGAGTGGACCTCACAGCCGGAGTAAAGGCAGCTCTGCTCCTGCCCCTTACACAGGGTCCCCTGCTGCCTCTTTCTAAAGCTATTCAGGCTGGATTATGCGTATACCCAGCCCCTAAGCTTTCCAGATGGGATGTGTCGTGCTATCTCCTGGCCTCCTTTGGCTCCTGATGGTCACCTTCTCTCCTGGTGTTTTCTCCCCAGATCTTTCAGGTCCAGGCATGAAATTCTTATCTCAGGTGCATCCTGGTGTTGGGTGGGGAAAGATTACAGACCAGATCGAGACCCCATACCACCACCTCCCTGCTCAGTGGAGGAAACCATGGAATTTCGCATGCACACGCTCTGTTAAAACAGCCTTGTGTCCCTTCTTCCCCGGAAGGTGACAAGTCATGTCATTTAGCTCTAGTAACAGACAGGCAGTAGAGCATGCCTCAGGGCTCACAGGTTGAGGGTCTCTTGAGAAGATGCCAGACATAGCAAGGCCACATTGTACATCTCTGTAATATAAGATCCTTAGAGGCTCTGTTCCCAGGGTCTCCTGGTATTGAAAATGAAGACAGACAACTCTTTCTGCCTACACACATTCTGCCTACAAAGCCCCGTCTCCCTGGAGAGCATGTGACCTTGAGGGTCTGCAGAATAGTGTGACTATTTCATACATCATTATCCCAGGGAACTTGGTGTGTGCCCCCCCCCCCTCATGTGCCAGAGATTTCCTGATCTGTGGACTCCAGGCTGAGAATCCTTTCCCTGCAGTGGGAAGGCAGGCTATGGCACAGACACGTGACTTTGGTCTAAAGGTCTAATGCTCGGCTCTCTCTGCAGCTAATTGTGCTGCCAGCTAAATTGGTCTATGCTCTTTGACACAATAAAGTTCCAGTAGCCTCTCAGATCAAGGGCTGAGAATGAATGGGAGACATGACCAGGGAAAACTACCTATCTATCTGTGGTTACATTTCTCTGAGGGCAGAACAGGCATGTGTGTGTGTGTGTGTGTGTGTGTGTGTGTGTGTGTGTGTGTTTCCAGACTGGAGAGTCAGAGACAATTTGGCTGCAAGTTGCTACGAGGATCACTTGTATTTTAAATTTAGAAGCTAACACAAATGAGCAATCTGTTGGACCAGCTCAGCCACACAAGTTGCTGGAAAATACAGCACAAATTTCAGATGCGTTTCTTGTGAAATTAGTCACCCAGCTGATGGGGCAGATGGATTCTCGCACAAGATAACAGCCAAGAGAAATCTCGCATGGTTCACTTGCCCTTGCTGTTCCAGGAATGCGTCCTGCTTTGAGGAAGGCCTGAGTCCTTCCCATACTATCTTTGTGCTCAGCTGGCACCTGCCAGATTTTTAGCTGGCACCTAGACTTGTGGTTTGGTGGATCAGGGGTGCCAGCTGCAGAGATGAGCATAGCTGGCATGGAATAAAAAGTCATGTTCCCTGAGGCAATGCTTGTGGCTTCCATTCAAGCTTGATTTCAATATTCGGAGTCTTTGATTGAATTTGTCAACAATTCTCCCCACTCCACAAGGCTTAGGGCTCAAGCTGCTGGATTCAAGAGAAAAGGGGACAAGTTTGACAGAGAGAACTCATGAAGAGCGAACTGGAGGAGGATGTGGCTGGTCTCTCAGTGTCTGATGACCTTCCCCGTCCCTTCCTTCCATGAAGGCTGGTCATCAGATCAGATCTTGGGAGTCTCTTTCAGGTGGTCACAGGTGCTCTCATGATGGTGGTATTGTCTCCTAAGTCAGAGGACAGAGGTCCCCACACCATCAGATCATGGGAAACATCAATCCATTGCTGTTGTTTCCCGAGCCTCAGAGTGACCGTAGGAGGGCATCCTGGTGGGTGGAGGATGGAACAAAGTCTCTGGGGAAGAAAGGGTGAGGAGTAAAGAGTAGTTTCATTTGAAAACACCTCAAGGAAGTCCTACAGAGGAAGGTTAGCCTTGATTTTGATTTTAGTACCCAGAGTCTTTGATTGGATCAATCAAATTGATTCAATTGGAATTAAATAGTAGACTTGTTCATTTGCTGTGCTCAAAGGCTTTTCTCACAAGTTTCTAACCCTAACCCTAACCCCATGACCAAACACAACTTGGGGAGGAAAGGGTTTGTTTCAGCTTACAGCTCAGAGTCCGTAGTGAAGGAAAGTTGGGACAGGAATTGAGGCAGAGGCCATGGGAGAGTGCCGCTTACTGACTTGCTCCTCATGGCTCACTCAGCTCGCTTTCTTATACCACCCAAGACCACTCTGCCCAGGGGTGGCACTGCCCACAGTGAGCTGGGCCCTCCCACATCAATCACTAATCAAGAGAATACCCATAGAGTTGATCACAGGACAATCTGATGGAGACATTTTCCCAGCTCAGGTCCCTCTTCCCAGAAGACTCCAGCTTGTGACAAGCTGACGAAAGCCAACTCGAACAATCACCAAGTGAGCAACTGGGCATCCATCTCTTCTTATAGCTGACACTTCCTAAAGCATTCACTTCTGTATCCTGGGAGTGTTCCAGGGAGCAGACAGATGTGAAAGGTGATCTCACTGCACAGAGATCACTGTCTCTTTCTCTCATGTGTCCACACATGGGGGTGACATTCATACAAGTAAGCACATGTGCTCGTGGAGGCCAAATGTCAAGCTTGATTGTCATTCCTACAGAGCCAGACAGCTTGTGCTAGGGTTAGAGGTGTGAGCACCACAACAAGGTCTCACCGGGATCTGAAACTCCCAGATAAGGTTAGACTGGCTGGTTACTGAGCCCAGGTATCCTCCTGCCTCTGCTTCCCCAGAGCTGGGATTTCAAGTACGTATTACTATGGCTGCCCCCACCCCTTTCAGGTTTACTTTTAATTATGCATCTGCATGCTTGTGTATGTAGGTGGGTGTGCACTACTGCAGTTGCCTGCAAGGCCAAAAGAGGGCGTCAGATTCCCTAGAGCCGGAGAGGTAGAGGGCATTGTGAGACGCCTGTTGAATCTGGGAACTGAACTTGTGTCACCTGGGAGAGGAGGAAGTGTTCTTCACTAAGTCATGTCTCCAGGCTCCCAGGGGTAGGGGGTCATCTTTTGCCAGGCAACACCCTTCTCTAGGGAAAGCTCTTGCTGTGGGAAGACTCTGATGGTCTTGCTAGCTGTTTCTGGAATCTGACCATGGATGTATTCTGCAGGTGACACGGTGACCCCCACAGGAGGTGGACAGTCTGTAACAACAAAAGTCTCAGCCCCAGCTGTCACTGCGGAAATAACAAGCCTTGGCCCAGACACCCTCACCTTTTCACCCAGTCCCAGGCACCCGAGGAGCACCCCAACAAGAAGTCAAGCCTGGACCCCAGGGCCTCCATCTAAGAGAGGCAGTAGCAGCACAGTCAGGCAGGAGATGAATAGCACAGGGCAAGATGCAGAGCTGCCCAGCACAGCCCCGAGCCTGGGAACGAGCCCCGGAACAAGCCCCGGAACAAGCCCCGGAAGTTCCAGCAGCATGTCAAGCTCCTTTCCCAGGACTCCAGAGCCAACCCACGGTTCCCTTCCGAAGACCACAGTTGTCCCACTGCATGCCACGGGAGGGCCACAGGCAAACCTCACTGTAGATCCTCCCCTTGTGACTGCTTCACCCACGGGCTATGTTGCATGGCACCCCAGTCCCACTTGGGAGGCACCCCTTTCAAACTCCACAAGACTGCAGAATGAAGACCCTCGCCCTTCCCTCTTCCCAGGCCTGCCATCGGCTTCAACCCCTGTGGCTTCAGAGTCCCCTGCCTGTGGTGAGTCATCAGGGGTCAGGGGCCCTAGTGGAAACCTCAGCCTGTGTGAGCCCTGGTGTCAGGCTTGGCAGCAATGTAGAGTGTTGTTTCTCATCTTGAACACATGTGGACCCAGGCATAGAGCAGTGTGGCCCTCTGCGGCAGGTGTCTGGTCTTGTTAGAGAGAGAAAAGCTCCCTTTCTGTCCCTCACCTTCTCCTTCTTTCTAAGAACCCCTGGCTTTTCACAGCTGGAGCAGAAGATGGCTTGGAAGGGGGATACTCTAGGGAGTATGTAGCCCATCTAGCACTGGGGCAATCCCCTGCAGTGTGGATACCCCAACAGGCCCATAATCCCCAGCAGCACAGCACCCTTGGCCCTTGCTGATGTGTCTCAGCTTCCCAAACCCTAACTTTCTATACTGACCCTGTTGAACCTCGGTTCTGCCTCACCCCAGTCACAATGGGGTCTCCAGTGGTCATGCACCCTGGAAGTCTGTCCTTCCAGCCTTCTATACCCACACTCGGGCTCTCTATACCTCACGGCTCTACTGCAACCCTCAGCTGATCCATGCCATACACAAAGGGTTTAGCTTGTCATCAAGTCTTGGGGACACCCAGGAATGAGTGACCCTTCCAACAGGCAAACGGGCTGGGGCTCATAGAGACCTAGCGGGAACAGCTCTGTTTTCTCAGCTTGCAGAGCTGGTGCCACTGTGGAACAGGGGTGAACTCCTCCATTGTTTCCTCTGTGCCCACCTACATGTGTGCAGGATTGTCTCACAGGAGACATGGACTTCCATGTCAGAGGGACTCTTGAGCCAGCAATGCCAACGATTGCCCCTGGGACACCAGCATAGAGTTAGGGTGGACCACCTTGTGGAGGAAACACCCAGAACCAACAGAGGAGGAGTGGTTTGAGGCTGCCTAGGCCCCCGGGGCTGAGTCTGAACCATTTCCTCTGGAACAAAATATCCCAGGAACCACTTTCTGTTGTCTAAGACACGTGACTTCTGCTAAAAAGCCAAACTAAGATCCCTATAGGGTCTTCACACAAGGGCCACGGTCTCTGTGGGTGCTCATGACAATTCTGCACCATTGGCAGGTGTCACCTCCTCTCCATTGATAAGTATTAGACTCTAGGAAACTCTTTTTCTGTCTCTCAATGTATTCGGATCAGTTTTCACATCAGCATGTATGTCCCACTTCCCAGTTCCTAGACCCATTGGAAAGGTCACCGTCTCCAACATGACCAGTACCGGCTTCTCCCTGGAGTGGTCAGCAGACATCAGCTTCTCCCCTACCTTCTACCTCACTTTGGTCTCTCCTCGGGGACCCGCCGTGACTATGGAGACCCGGGACAATAACGTGACCTTGTCAGGGCTGGAGCCTGGAGCCTTGCACCTGGTAGAGATTGTGGCTAAGGTGTGTGGGGAAGAAGGTTCCAGAAGACAGCTGAGAGTGCGGACAGGTAAGAGACCAAACAGACAAGCATGAAAGATTGAACAGAGGAAGGCCTGCCTGTGGGCTGCTGGGTGTCCATCCCCTTCTCAGCACAGAAGCACCTGGCTCACCTTGTGAGGGATGGTGGCAGAATCGAATAATAATACAGGGACCCCATTACATGGGAGACAGTCCTCCCCACACTTACACAGTCAGATAAACCCCCCACTTCTCCTCATTACTTCTGACATGTTTTCCCAGCACTTGGCTTTCTACGTGTGTGATTCTATAAGGAGACTTCACATCTAGGGGAGCTTCCCGCACACTGGGGGCTGTGTCTCTCAGGTTGGGGGTACATTCCTTGGGTGATGCCTAAGATGTCCTATTGGGGCGTGTAGTAATAAGAGCGGCGGGGCTACGTCCCCAGCACCCCGGTAGCCTGGCTAGCTTATGCCCCGAAATAACAACACACAAATTGTATTCATTTAAACACTGCTTGGCCCTTTAGCTCTAGCCCTTACTGGCTAATTCTGATATCCCGATCAACCCATCTCTAATAATCTGTGAGCACCGGTCTTACCGGGAAGATTCTAGCCTACATCCATCCTGGGTTGGAGCTTCATCGCATGTGTCTGCCCTGGAGCAAGGCATAGTGTCTCTCTGAGGCGTAGCTGCTGAGATACCAGCCCATTGGGGCGTGGTCTCTCTCCCTTTAAAAAAGCGGCTATAGGCTGGAGGAGCGGGAGGACCTCCCGCAACAGGGGCACAGTAAGAACAGCTAATGGGCCAGCAGGGAAACCCCTGAGTCTGAGCCAAGCCAGGAGACCCCCCGAAGGTCTCCCTCACTCTGGAAAGGAGGGGCTGTGCATGGATGTGTGCCTGCACCTTCAGACAAGTCCTGTGTCTGCATGTTCTGTCATGCCTCTGTGCCTCTTACATCAGGTTGCATGCATCACTGGGCATGGTTCTGGCCTTTGGGTACAATGACAGCAATGTCCTCCAGGGACACGAGGTTTGAGGCTCATCAGGAATGCATGGTGGGCTGGCTTTACCATTTGTCTTAGGACTGAGTGAGATTCTCTTGGGAGGTGGCCTTGAAGTCACTTTCATCTGATGCCCCAGGCCCCTTACATGAAGCAGGCATGCCACAGACATTCAGGAAAGGGCTGTGTCAGAAGCCAGGACTTGACTGGGGAACATTCCAGACTATGCTCATGTTCTATATGCTCCTAGACGCTCCAGAGAGCAGAGACTCACAGAGAACAGGCTGGGCCAAAGTTAGACCACAGAGTCGCAAGTCTGGGGGTGGGAAAGGCACTGCCTAAACAAGGCCCCCAGGAGGCATGGGCTCTGAATGGAGACTGTGATGTCCAGGTTTACACCGTGAGTCCCATTGCCTCTTGGTGCCTGCTCCCTCTCAACTGTCCTGGTTTGCTAGCCAGCTGCATGACTTGCAGAGAAGCCTCGAGGAAGGCCCTCTGCTCGCTGTCTCACATCCTTCGGAGCCTGGTGGGCTGTGTCTGTGGTCAGCAGTCGCTATCCCTTCTTTGGGGCCAGGTCAGCCTTGCTACTCATGCAGTCAGGGATGCTGAAATGACACTCTGTGACCTAATGCATGCTACATCCTGCAGTGGCCCGGAAACTTGCCGGTGAAGTCCGGATAGCAAACATCCAGTATTCAGAATCCTTCCGAAATGCCAGCAGCAGGGAGCACCGAGACTTGGTACAGCTATTCTTCAGGACGGTGAGTTGGGACAGTCAGTCCTGCTTCCCGGGGGCAAAAGGAAGGAGTCAGGGTGGGAGCGAGATGCTAGATGCTTCCAACTAGGAATAAGACTCATGGGTCTTGTCGACTCCCTGCTTCTGGAGGAAGCTGAGCCAGACTCCAGCAGGTTTGAGTCCTGAACTGTATGACAAGCCTGAAGACAGAAGCCATATCTTTCCTCAGGCACCTTGCTTGTTGCTCCCTGCAGAGCAGAAATCTCTCTATTTATCAAAGTGTTCAAACAGGGCTTGGGTGGTGCAGGACTGTAATCCTGGCAACTCAGGAAGCTGAGGCAGGGTGGGTTGCAAGTTCAAAGCCTGTATGGGCTACAGAGGGAGCTTAAAGCCAGCCTGGATGACTTAGTGAGACCCTGCTTCAAAATTTAGAAAGTAGAAAGCTAGAGTGTATTGCAATGTTTACCTAGAATGCACCAGGCCATAGGTTTAGTCCCCTGTAATATGTGTGCACTGAACACATGCACACACACACACACACACACACACACACACACACACACACAAATGACTATTTAAAAATTTAGCTCCTTTTAAAACACTATGAAAATTTTAAGTGTAAAACCCAGTGATTTGTTTGAAAAAAAAAATCTGCAGCTGCCACCACCATCCAATTCCAGAATGTTTCATTACCCTTAGTGTGGAGACTCTGTACTCATTCCAATTTATTCTCCCTCTGCCCCTCCCCCAGCCCCTGGGCTGCTACTTTCCTTCTTTGGACCTGCCAACTGGATGCTCATGAACGTGGGCAAAATTAAGTGACTTGTTGTTTCTGTCACTTGGTTAATGTGCTCCAGGTTCATCCATGTTGGCCTGTGCATTTGCACCCTATCTCTTTGATGGCTGTGCTCCTCCAGGCCTGGTTTATGTGGTATTGGGGATGGAGCCCAGGGCTTCACATATGCAGGCGACACTCCACCCACTGCGCTACGGCCCCAGCGCTAGATTACATCACTCTCTAAAGGATGTAATTACCATAATCTAGCGATCTCATTTATCTGGCGGAATCTCAACCTTCTTTTAGCTTTTCCATAGTCAGAGTTATGTTTTAAGGGTGTGTTGGACAGTGCCACCTAGTGGTGGTTGTGATAACTTGCTGGTATGTCCAAAAGCCAATGGGTGCTACTCTCCGGTTGACCACGCAACCTCCGGAGCTGTTCCAATCTAGTTCCACAGGATCTGAAGCCCTGCCTTCCATATTCTGGAATTTCCAACTCTCTCAGTGCCTGGACCCAAGAGTCTCTGGTGGGGTGGCTTAGGAGGCGCAACACTCCTCTTTAGCAAATCATGGCTTTAATGTAACATCAAGCGACAGACGCTGAGCCCCCTTCCCCACTCTGGCGGCCAACTACAGCAGTTCCAATACAAGTTTCTAGATCAGTCTTTCCTTTTAAAACCATTTCCTCTTTGGCCCATTTTTTTGGGGCATAAGTTGCTTTATTTGTCTCGTGTCTCCAGACAGAAAATAATTGTGCAGCCATATACATGGGTGGGATGCCAAGACCAGCTCTGGAGGTGGAGAGCTAATGGCTCATTGCTTCCCAGCAGGGGCTGGAGCTTCACCTGGAGACCACTTTAACCCAGTGCTGCCACGGCTCTGCATATCGGGGTGGGGTGAGGTGGGGTGAGGAGCAAGAACTGTAAGAGAAGCACAGCTGCTGACTGAGCCCCCCAAAGGCAGCTGGACTGGGGTTGGCAGCTTATAATGTGGGATGATGGAACCCTCTGCCTTGGGTGACTTTGAGGAGGGAAAGTGAGGCCAGGAGCTCATGCCTTAGGGTACCACCCTTCCCTCATGGGTTCCTTTGACAGTCCCTGGCTATGTCCTTTCCAGGGATAATGTGAATCACGTGAACCATTGAGGCTCATGATAAGGGCACGTGTGTTTGACTATTTTGGGCTGGATTAGAACAACGTGGTCTATGACACGTGACCCTGCTCTAAAGGACAGAGGGCAAAAGCAAGCCTTTCGGAGGCAGGAACTGGGTGTCCTGTTAGGGCTGCTGGAGATATTCAGAAGTGGCCTGCAACAGGTGGAGAGGAAGAAGAGAGGGGGATGTTCTGAAGCATTCGAGGCAAAGAAACGTTCTAAAAAGACAAACGGAGTAGGTGGCCTTCCTCAGGACTACTCACCCAGCCCCCACTGCCCCTACCCCTGAGCTAAGAGCAGCCAACTGTTAACTGCCACTGGGAACTTTTGTGTTACAGGCCTGTGAGGGTGGGGTCGTGCTGGCATTGCCCCTATTCCACCCAAAGACAGCTCTCTGCAGCTGTCTGCTCCATGTAGCGGGAGAGAGATCCTCAGGGCGTCGTCAATACCTGCAGGCATTTGTTCTGGGCTTAAAGAGACCAAGAACTGATCTGAGGCCTGGACCTCCTTGTCCTAAGCCTCCCCTACTGGCAGAGCACCAGTACAAACGGCCTGTGACCTCAGTAGGCAGCTCTTCTCACATAGCCTGTTTCTCTAAGGTGCGGGACTCCTTACCAGCCCCTCTGTATCAGCACATGGATGCAGGCAGGATCCGAGTGGACATCATCAACATCACAAACGGCAGTGTTGTGATGGAGTTTAATTTGCTAATAATGGCAGACCTGGATGTCCGGGAGGTGTCCGCCGCCTTCCTCACGGCCCTGCAGAACACATCGGTGCTGGAGGTGGACAAAGGCAGAACTTTCATACAAGGTACGCAGGGGCTGGGCTCAACCCTGTGCTGCCCCAGTTCTGGAGTTAGAGGCAGCATGAAGTCAGCGGTGGCTCTGGGTTAGGAAAATGTGCTCTGGGCCTCCTCGTGGAGCTTGCAAGGGCCTGGCTGATGCACGAAGTAAATGGGGACTTTTCTGTCTTCTTATTGCTACCAAGATTATTGTTAAAGATCAAAGGGTTGAACCTTTAAGTCTCAGAGGCGTCCCTCCCCTGTCAACTGTGCTTTGGTGGGCTTGGAACAAGAGGGTCCTTCTGAGCAGCTAGACTGTCCAGGAAGTTTCCATGGAGAGCTTAGCAAAATTACCAGTGACGAAAGCGAGGGGAGGAAGGCCGTTTGGACTCTTCCCTCCTCGGAGGTGAAGATAAATGCCAGATGGCCCATAAACAGACCCTTTATTTCATTTAGTCAGAGTCTCTCTGTGTAGACCAGGTTGTCCTGGAACTCACTGTGTAGACCAGGCTGGCCTCACATTCACAGAGATCCGTCTGCCTCAGCCTTCAAAGTGCTAGGATTAAAATGTGCGCCACCACACCTGGCCCTAGATGGTTTTATGCTTTGATTTTAGAGAAGACTTTAAAATTGAATGTCTTTTTTTCATTTGGAGAGGGAGGAGGATTCCCTAAGCCAAGTCAGGTTTTCAGGGGGAAAGACTGCGAGGTGTGAATGACCTAAAAAGACCAACCTTCCTGTTGAGCAGAACAAAGCTGCTCTTGTAGAAACGATGAGAGAAAACTTCTCATCAACTATTAGCAGCCTGAGTACAGAGCGAGTTCACACAGAACTGATGAAGACCGAGCCCGAGAGGTCAGTGTGCAAAGATGAAAGCAGACAAAACCGCAAAGGAGTATATAGGTCACTGACACATGATCACCATGAAATGGACAAAAGGAAAAAAAATACTATACATAAAACTGAGTTACAAAACAAGCCAGCTCCCAGATTCCCTCTGATATGAGCATTGGCCCTAACAAAGCATGGTGGGTGGGCAGGGGCTATAGAGTCTGCGGAGCAGGCTAGTGGGGTAGAATTTTCTCGCCCTTTGGGAAACTAAGGCAGTGATGGTTTCACTGTCCACAGCATCTCTTGCTCATTAACTTGGCAGTTGATTCTGAGACTTTGTCCTTGGAGAAGGGACCTCAGTTCAGACCATAGCTAATGCAAAGATAGCCGTCATCAGAATGCCTTCAAAAGCAAAGTAATTGGAAATAACCGATAGTCTGGGGTAAGAAGAACGCCCAGTTCTGTCCACACCATGGGCCGTTGTCACCCATGAATGGTTTTGCTGAGGAGGAAGATGCCGGAAAAATCATATGCTAAGTTACAATAGGGTGTCATGTGTGAGTATGCACACAGGCTTGTGTCTGTGTTGAGCAGGCACATGTGTGTATGTACATGTGTATGAGTATATATGTGGACATGTGTATGCATGGTAAGTGTGCTGCCACTGAGCCAAGCCTCGGCCCTGGAGTCTTCTTGGTAAAGACCGGAAGGAAACCCACGACTCTGCAGCCCCACGGTCTGTGCTCTTTGCTCTGCGTTTTGGTTCCTATCACCCTTCTGCAGGATGGACAGACCAAATGGGCAGAAAGATGGAAGGTGCGGGAGGAGGGGTGTAGCAGGCCGCTGGGCTCAGTGCTTTGCTGCTCTGGTCTCCTGGGCTGGAGGGGGTGCAGCTCTGCAGAAACCCCTTTCCTGTCTCAGGGCTGGATTCTTCCAGAATAGCCCTGGCTCCCCACTTCCATGGCAGTTCCCACCCACACTGAGTCTCCTGGACTGTCCTGAGCTGGCCACATTCGTGTGGCCTGCTCTCTGGATATAATTCCACCCTGCCTCCTGATATGCACCGTCCCAGATGCATGCAGCTGATGCATGCAGCTGATGGCACTGCCCACCCCAGAGCCACTTACAGCCTGCCATGGCTCCTGTTCTCCTCTCAATGCTTTTCAGACTACGATGAGTGTGAGATGAGGGAGGATGACTGTGAGCCTGGGATGTGCAGAAACACCTTCGGATCTTTCACGTGTAGCTGTGATGGGGGAGACTCACATGTGGAATATTCTGGAAGATCCTGTGATGGTAAGTTTTTTAGCCTTTTCTGGAGTGCTATCTCATCATCTTCTTTCCTAAGGGCTCTCATTTCTAAGAGAAGGGGTCCTTTGTGCAAATGAAGTCAGCACAATGTTTATGACCTGGACAAGTTTCTATATGTGTGCATGTGTGCGTGTATGTGTGTGTGTGTGCGCATGCGTGCATGCATGTGTGTATATGTGAATTCATGTGTGCATATGTGTGTGTGTGTGTGTATGCCTGGCTCTCCCTCTTCTTTCATATATATCCCATGGAGGGAGACAGCCACCTGTGTGAGTGACAGTCTCTGGGGCAGAGAACCTACTTGGTCTGGGGGACACAGAGTACAGAAGAAGTCAAGTCACGTTGGAGCTGTCATCAGGGCCAACTAAGTCAGCACCTGGTAGTGGGGTCCAATCATGCGATAGGAACTGGCTGAAACTTGGGAGCCTACAGAAGTGGATGACACAGAAAAGCATGCTGCCCAGGAATGTGGGTGACGTTTCCATGGAAGATCTTTCCAGAGATCCCTCGACATTGCAAAACTGTGAGCTTTGGGGCAGGAAGGAGGCCAAGGCTGGAGCAAGGGGCACAGACTCCTGAGAGGACAACTTAGGACTCTCTGTTTGGAGATAAACCTCAGGACCTTGGGGACAGGTCCTTGCTGATTTGTGGTGAGCCCACAAGTGTTATGCAGTAAGTGGACAGCTGGCAGATCTATTAGACTCTCCACGGGAAGTGCGTATGCACACCCCGCCTGGACTAACCCATTTCTGCAGAGCTATGGGGACATCTGTCCTTTGGAGAAGTCACTGTCAACTCTGCAGAAATCTTGTGAAATCACAGCATTTCTCCCTTCTATAGTATCCCAGCAGCTTATAAACCTGACTTTTCCTGTAGGGCAACTGGATAACTCACCCTACATTGTGAAGCCATGAGGCGAAAGAATTCAGTCAAGCCCTTGTTCTCACAGCCAAAATCTACAGAAAAATAGTCCCCCACAAACTGTCGTTATTGACAGTAGTCACTGATAAGAAAGGAGCCTCATACAGGAGGTTATAATGTATCTGCCCTAACAGCAGCCTCAGGAAGGTGTGATCTACTGCTCTCCTGCTCTGACTTAACAGGCTACTAATACTCTGTATCTACCCTTCACCTTGGTTTCAACTAACATAGGATCATAGCTCAGGAAATTAACTGTCTATACAGGAAAAAGGCCTGAGTCGCCAAAACTAGCTTCAGAGAGAAAAATTCTCACCTGGGCCACTCGCTGGAGTCAAAAGCAGTATCTCCAGAAGAGATCATTTTAACTCAACCAGCCAGATGCTAATGCAAATCAAACCCCTAGGTTAGTATAGCTACCACAGGGGAACTTCACAGCCACGCCCTCTCTGAGATATAAAGTGCCTACTTGCCCGATCCACCAGTTTCTTGAGACTCTGTGAAAATGTATGCTTGATACTTTTGTTACTGCCTATGGGATTGCTAACTTGTCTGCACCCCTATATAAACTGAAACCTTTGTGGAGACCGAGAGAAGCAGGCTGTCTCGGCCTCATGAGGCACTTACTAAAGCAGTTTGTTATCTGGAGAGGGCAATAGGGCCTCCTGGGGTGAGAGCTGCCAAGGCTGGAAGAGCAATCTATAACACGTTACATGATTATAAATCTGGTGGAATAGATATATGTTACTGGAAGAACATGAAGCTAAAAGATCTTCCAAGGCTTCTTAGGTACACACTTTCCCTCTCTCCCTGACCTAAAACACCTCTCTCTCCTCTGCCAAACCTGTGCACTTAAAATTCCAAGTGTGACTCCAGCAGGCGGCCCAGGTGAGAATTTTTCTCTCTGAAGCCAGTTTTAGCGACTCAGGCCTTTTTCCTGTATAAACAGTTAATTTCCTGAGCTATGATCCTATGTTAGTTGAAACCAAGGTAAATGGCATATACAGAATATTAGTAGCCTGTTAAGTCAGAGCAGACCAATAGATCACGCCTTCCTGAGGCTGCTGTTAGGGCAGATACATTATAACCTCCTGTATGAGGCTCCTTTCTTACCAGTGACTACTGGCAGTAAAGAAAGTTTGTGGGGAACTATTTCTATGTAGATTTTGGCTGAGAGCAAGGACTTGACTGAATCCTTTTCACACTATGGCTGTGGGGGAGTTATCCAGTTGCCCTACAGAAAAAGTCAGGTTTATAAGCTGCTGGGATACTATAGAAGGGAGAAATGCTGTGATTTCACAAGAGTTCTACAGAGTTGACAGTGACTTCTCCAAAGGACAGATGTACTTGTAGCTCTGCAGAAATGGGTTAGTCCAGGTGGGGTGTCCGTATACGGTTCCCGTGGATAGTCCGATAGATCTTTCGGCTGTCCATTTCCTGGATAATACTTGTGGGCTCAACACACATTCATGCTTAGCACATCCATGGTACTTGAGGACCAATGGAAGCCCAGTAGCCCGATCTGTGCAAAGTGTGGGAACACTGTGTCTGGAGCAGGCACCTCCTGGGTATGGCTGCTTTAGAGTACGATATAGGGCCTCAGAGGCCTGCCCTGTCCCTCCAGCCCCAAACAGACTTACCCTGAGCCTTTGTCTCCTTGGAACCTGCAGGTGGCTCTTCTAGCAACACAATCCAGACCCCAGGCCCAGAGTGGCCCCCTACCCCAGCAGGAACCAGAGTTGACCCTGTGCCAGATGCCAGCTCCGTGCCCCAGGACCCACCCCTGCGGCTGAACCTGACTGATGCGGTTGGAGTGTCCTGCGAGATTGAGACAGTGGTCATTACCATCCAGAAACGCTTCCTGCAGCAGGAAGCCATACCCGAGGCCTCCCTGTACCTGGGGGAGCCCTCCTGCAACGTGAGCAACAGCAACAGCACGCATGTCTTCCTGGTGGCTGGCTGGGGCCAGTGTGGGACCCTCGTGCAGAGCGTGAGTCACCTGGAGGGACGTCAGGGTGGGGAGGGTTTGCACCTGGTAGGGCAGCAGCCAGGGTCTTCGCTCCTGGGCCTCTGACTTCTGAGAGAACCCAGAAGAGGAAGTCAGACAGGTCCACGCCGCCACAGTCAGTACACTGGAATCCTGAAGAGATGCAAGCTTCACGTTGCAAAACTCTTCTGGTGCTTAGGGCTTGGGGCTGGCTGGAGTCAGGATGGGAAGGGAAGGTAGGAAAGGGGAGAAAGTCAAGGAGTCATGTGGGAACATGTGTGTGCATGAATGTGCATGTTTAGGTGTGTGTTGAATACACCTGTGTGCACATGTATTATATGTATGCATGTGTGTTAGACATATTTCTGCCACTGTAACAACGTGTCTGAGATAAGTCAGCTTCAGGGAGGGAAAGGTGGGCTTGGCTCACACTCAGAGGTTTCAGCCCATGGTTGGTTGGCTCCGTTACTCTGGGCAGGAGAGCATGATGCTGCAAAGCTGCACACGTCATGGTGTCCAGAAATGGAATGGGGGGGACAGAAAATGGGGGAGAGAGGGTGAGAACAAAGCTAGGGGAAGGAAAGAGGGGGAATAAAAAGAAGGGGAGGGGGGAGAAAGAGGAGAGGAAGAGGGGGATGGGAAATTGAAGAAGAGAATGAAGGAAAGAGGGAGGGAGGAAGGGAGAGAGAGAGAGAACTCATTTGCTAAGATCCAAGTGTTCCTTCAAGGCTGTTCCCAGTGTGTCAGTGTCTCTCAGAGGGACAGGACGCAGGAGCCAGCAGATAGAGGCTTAGGTCACCTCTGTTTTCTGAGCCAAAGATCTCATCTGACAGTTCAGTCCAGCTGGGTTTGGGGAATGCTGGGAGAAAAGAGAACACCACCGATTAGATATGGTATGACATGCTAAGACGCAGGTTGACGCAAGGACACAGCTGCACATATATGACGGCATAAACATAACTGGAAGACTGGCCTCCTCTGGGTGAGTAGGATGGGGGCTAGAGGTAGGAACCAATGCCCGACATGAAAATCTCTAGCAGGTGACATCAGGGGACACTTGCCAAGGCCATCACACTTCTAGGGATAACCCTCCAGTACCTGGAATATATCTGCAGTTGGAACTGGGGCACATGGAGACCCAGGGGATCACTAACATCCCCTCTGTTTATGCTCAGAACATGACCAGCACAGTGGTGACGACCACACTGAAGAATGACCTGTCCCCAGAGGGTGTCATTCACCACCTGCAGATCCTCAGTCCCATCCACTGCGCCTTCCGCAATGACCTTCTGACCTCCTCAGGCTACACCCCGCAGTGGGGGTGAGTGGGAGGCTTCCTTGCCTCCATATAACCTGGGCTCCCTCTGGGACCTTTGCTTGAAGGCTCTCCAGGGTGTCTCTCCTCCGAGGGCTTTCTTGAGTCTGCCTACACAACTGCCATCTTGCCCCCATCTCTGCCCGAGTCCTTTGTAGGATTGACTAGAGAGGACCAAATGCTTTCCCATCAGCTAGGCAGAACAGCTTCTAGTGAGTTGCCTCTAGCTCCTCAGAACACAGCCTCCGCATGATAGCCCTCTCTCCAGGGCAACCGCCCACACAGAGAGGAGTCCGGCTTCTTGCTTGCAGCCAGCTGTGCATGCGTCACCTCCCCTCACCGGGCTTCTTCCTTGGCTTCCGTGCCTCCTCAGAATCACCTTTTGTGGGGAGGAACGAGAAGAAAGGACTTCAGAAAGCAAGCCTCAGCTAGCCTCTCCCCCACAGGGTCTACACCATCATAGAAGACCTCCACGGCACTGGGAACTTCGTCACTGAGATGCAGCTGTTCATTGGAGATTCTCCCATACCTCAGAATTACAGTGTGTCTGCCAGTGATGAGATCAAGATTGAAGTGGGGCTCCACAGGCAGAAGAGCAGCCTCAAGGTGGTGCTGACCAAGTGCTGGGCCACCCCATCCAGCAACGCCAGGGACCCCGTCACCTTTGGCTTCATCAATAACAGGTAGAGGCCGCATCACCTTGCCCAGCCCCGTTGCCTACTTTGAACCCTTTGGAATTTCCAGGCAAATGCTGATGTGGTCCGGATTTGGGGCCAGATGGAACAGCAGCACCTGAGACTTTCAGGAGGCTGTAGGGTACCTGTGAGGGGCAGAGGTTCACAAGAGCCATGCCTGAGCAGCAGCCAGGGGAGCAGTTGACTTCAGGAGCCATGTTCCCTCCCTCCCTCAGCTGCCCAGTCCCCAACACCTACACCAGCGTGATCCAGAATGGCAACTCCAGCAAGGCCCAGTTCAAGCTGAGAATCTTCTCCTTCGTTAACAATTCTATCGTCTTCCTGCACTGCAAGCTGCGAGTGTGTATGGAGAACCCCAGGAACTCATGCAGGATAGTAAGTGCTGGCTCCTTCCTCCTTCCTCCTTGGGGGGGGGGGGACCCATGACCTACAGTAACTTGGGGAGGAAAAGGTTTATTTTAGCTTATAGGTTATAACCCATCATCAAGAGAAGCCAACTCGGGAGTTTGAAACAATAATGATGGCACATGCTCCTTACTAGCTTCTTCCCCCTGGTTTGCTCAGACCTAGGAGTGGCACCGCCCACAGTGGGCTGGGTCTTCCTACATCAAATAGCAATGAAGGAACTGTCCCCACACACATGCCCACAGGCCAATCCAATCAAGGCAAGTATTTTGTTGGATTCCCTCTACCCAGGTGTGTCAAGTTGGCAACAAAACTAACCAGTCATGTCACCCAGCTCCACCCTAATCAGCTGTGGTGTAAAACAGTATTTTGATATCGTATGAGCAATATGAATAGAACCTCGCCAACTATCAGCAACTCTAGTAGATTTTTCTTTCCTTGTGCACAGTATTTACATGGAGCTCATGGACACTTCGCATTCTCATTTACCCAGACGATATGTGTTCTTCCTTTGGGAGACATGCTTGCTACTGTACCCATCTCTGAGGGTGGCAGACACTCTGGAATTTTTCCAAGTGACAAGCCTTTGGCCATTAGCAGGGTGTGGGATAAGAGACACGGGGCCCAATAATTCAGTCATTCCCCTTTCTCACATAGTAGGTCTTCCTGGCGGCACAGTTGACTTCCCCTGACACTCACTGAGGGGCATGCCCCAGTATAGACTTCATACAGTCCTCAGAAATACGGCTAGTGGTTATAGCAATGTTCTCTATGCAGGGGCTGATGCGTCTCAGGGCTTTCCAACCTGATCCCCATCCCCACTCTGAGTTCCTTAATAGCGGGCTTTCCATTAGTTCCCAAGGCTGCCAGAAAAGGTATGACGGGGCCATTAAAATACTAGAAACACACTGCTGAGTGAGTCGGGAACCCACAGTGTTGGCAGGCTGGGTCCCGAGCTATGCAGGAGACTCTGCCATGGCGTTGCCCAGCTTCTTGTGGCCTGGCCATTCCCTCACAGAATTTCTTCCCCTCAAGTCCGTCCGTACATCCACATCCTTTTCATTTTAGGTCTCACTTTCAGGGTTAGAGGTCACCTCAACCTGATCATCTTCCCAGACAAGGTCAGCTGATGAGTTTTGTGTAAACTTGACAGCAGCTAGAGTAGTTAGGAGGAGGAGTAGAGCAGGGAAACTCAACTGAGATAGGGCCTCCACGGGATCAGGCTGTGGGCAGGCCTGTAAGGCTTTTTCTCAATTAGTGATTGACAGGAGAGGACCCAGCCTATTGAGGGTGGTGCCATCCCTGGTCTGGTGGTCCTGGGTTCTATAAGCAGGGTGAGCAAACCATGTGGAGCAAGTCAGGAAGTAGCCCTCCTCCATGGCGTCTGCATCAGCTCCCGCCTCCAGGGTCCTGCCTTGTTTCAGTTCCTGCTTTCGCTTTCCTCAGTGAGCTGTGACTCTGGACATGTAAGCCAAACAATCCCTTTCCTCCCCAAGTTGCTTTTGGTCATGGCATTTCATTACAGCAAAAAAAACCCTAACTAAGACAGTTAGAAGGCTGGGGTCAGGACGCCCTCATTTTCTTGGAAAACCATGGTGGATATTGGGTATACAGGGAACAGATTGCACCAAACCGCCGAGCAACACAGTGAAGGTGAAGGGCAAAGGTATCAGAGGAGTGCAGGCCTGGTTGAACCCTTGGAAGACACGAAAGGAACTCTGGGTTGTCTTGTTGAGGCACGGTCCGAGGGAGGGATGAAAGACTCATGGTCTCTCCATCTTTCCTCTCTGTGTACCCCATTCCATGCCTCTCATGCTTTGGGTGATGCTCCAGTTTGTTTTTGTCAACCCGACAAAGGCTAGAGTCATCTAGAAGAGGAAAATGCCTCCAACGGACTGCTTCTACGCAACTCTGTAGGGCTTTTGCTTGATTAATGATTGATGTGGGAGGGCCCAGCTCCCTGGGGCCAGTGGTCTGTATAAGAAAGCAGACTGAGCAAGTCGTGGGGAGCAAGCCTGGGCAATTTTCCTTCATGGCCTCTGTTCAGCTCCTGCTTCATTCTTGGCTGCCTTCACTCGACCATTACCTAGGATATGTAAAGCGGCTTTTGCCCAATGACTCAACACCCAACTCTGGAGGACCGAATTGCCAGGGTCAGATGAGGAATGCCCTAGACAGTGAGTTCATGACCTGTAAGCACCAAATGAACTTTCTCTTGTCAAAAACAGAGCTGCAATGACTTCCGGCTGCTGAGAAGCAGTGAAGCTGAGCACCAGATGTCCTGGGGGCCGCTCCATCTCTCTGAAGGTGAGTCCTCCGGCTCTGGGTTTCAAAGGCGAAGAAATGATCCCAGCTGCCTAGTGTGCAGAGGGGCTTTAAAGATTTTTTTACAGGACTCACAACAGTGGCTGAAATACTCCTCGAGACTCTTGCGTGATTGTGTGGGGTTAAGATCATCACATATTGGACAGGATTTGTTCCCTTGGCCACCTGAGAGATGGGATCTACTTCTGTGGCCGTGCTGTGGGGAAGAGTCCCAGATTCCAGAGGCTCAGAGCACTGAGTTTGTCGGGTGCTGTGATCTGAGTCCCGGGAAGCTGAGGACAGGAGATCTTTGACCCTGAGTAAATACGTCCAGTGGATACAAAGAGGGAGGGCCCAAGCTGCAAATAGACAACTGCAAGTGTGCGTGCTTGTGCATGTGTGCGTGCGTGTGCATGCATGCATGCATATACTCATGTGTGCACACATGTGTAATTGTAAAACCGTATGAAAAAGCTGTTTAATTTAGAAGATGAACCAAAAGGACACTCTAGATGATTATGTCCATGTATTTTCAGAATCAAATTTTCCAAACACGTTTCTCCTCTCATATGATCTAATTATTTGGAAAAACTATGGAATTTACATGCTGTGGGTACTAAGACAGAAGTTTCTAGATGCCTCCAATCCTGTCTCTTTTCTATAGTAAGAGAATTTTCAGACTTTAGCTGGCACGTCGTTGCCTGGAGTAAAATCACAGCTTCCACCCTCCTTGGCAACTGAGTGCAGCTGGGGAGGTCAGCTCTGGCCAGTGAGGGGGAAAGAAAGCACTGACAACTCCAGGGGACACTCCTCAAGGAACATCCAGTGCTACCCCTGGCTACTTCCTTCTTCTTTGTCCCCTTGGGCAGCTCATCTTCATGCCAGAAAGATATTTAAGCTTTTCTCCTTGCTCAGCCTAATCCTGATTGGTTTTCTTTTTGTTAATTTTCCTCCTAACATTGATGGTCTTGTGCCTTTCTGTATTTCCCTGCAAAACAGCTCCTGGGATTCAGGCTGAGGGTGGGAGCTGGGTTTCAGGTAAGAGAGCAAGGGAACCAGCAGGGAGGTCCTGGCTGGTGTGTCTCAACTGCTGTTTTTCATTTAAGCATTGAGGAAATAAAACCTTGGGCATAGTTGTCAGGGTACACCCCTAGCCCACTAACTCAGACTGTTTTACATCTAGGTGTGTGTTCACAAATGGTTGCTGACTTAGGTTCTGAGACCCAGGTGAGTCTCCACAAATGGCCTGTGTTCTGAGACCTAGGTGGGGGTCCTCAGGCAACTGCTGGCTGAGGTTCTAGAACCAAATGCCTTTTCTCCACTCACTATCCTCTTAAATTGCTGTAGAGAACTGGTCAACCTGGGGCCCCAAGACGAAAGAGCATATTTAAATCACATGCTCTCATCAATAGAAATGTAGCCTCTCCATTCGTTCATAGATGTCAGGGAAAATGTCAATAGGATGGGAGAGACACTGGACTTGGAGTTGGTGGACCCGAGTTTGACCATAGGCTGATGCATGAGCTGTGCGGTCTTCATAATACTGTTGACTCTATCACATCTATCCATCCACACATCCTCCATTCATCATCATTCTTCCATCGATCCATCCAGCCATCAGCCATTCATCATTAATCAATGTATTCATCTAGATGCCATTCATTCATGCATTTAACTTTCACTAATCCATCCGTGCACACATCCATCTATCCATCTACCCATTATCTGTCATCAATCCATCTATCCATCTACCCATTATCTATCATCAATCCATCTATCCATCTACCCGTTATCTATTCACCAATATATCTACCATCTGTTCACCATACATGTATACAGACAGACATTCCTCTCTTTCTTCCTCCATCCACTATGTGTCAGGGATCCTGGTTTTCTTTTGTAAGATTGTAGTCATAGCAGATTGCTCTGCCTACCTCCCGGAGTTGTATCTAATGTGAAATACAAGTCCTTTGAGAGTCCCTAATGTGTGAGGCTCCTTAAATTTAAAATCTGGCTGATGATAATACTCTTGGGATGCTGGGCACAATACCTCTCATTTCTCGTTTTCCCACTGTGAAATTAAGATATTATTTCCTACTTCAGGCAGATCATGGCCTACAGGCGTTTCTGGGTAAGACTTGGTTGTTGCCTTTTGTAAGAAGCAGAGATCTACACTGGACCAGTGCAGAGAGCATTGCCACAAGGGTGTGACTGATCTGGCTCCAAAGCTCAACCATCCTCCTGTTCACCACACTTTTTTGCTGTCTGTGGCTTTTATTTCCATAATGTTCTCAGACAAATGGGCATGGAAGCCACTGCCACACATGGCACCTGCAATTGGTAAGAGCTGCTTGCTGCAGGAGTGGTGTTAGCAGAAGCACTGAAGGAGCCGCAGAAACAAGGAGAGGCAGGCTGATGCGTTCCCACCGGCTCTGGTCTCTATCCCCACTGCCACCGGCACTTCCCCTTCAGGGAAGCCTGAAACTCACCTGGAGATCAGGGAGGATGTATGTGTTCACGTGGCTGGACCTGGGCCTCGGAGGCAGAGCTGGGCTGCTCAGAATCCTCCTGCTTGTCTTTGTCAAAGGGTTGGGACCGGCTCTGCGGAAAGGGCTCCACCACCACCATCACCACTCCTGCCCAAGTGTGCGTAAGTAGCCATGGTGACAAAATACCATGGACTGGGTGACATATGGCCACAGAGTTGTATCCTCTCACAGTCTGAGAGCCGGAAACAGCCTGAGACAGGGTTTCCTACTCCTCTGAGACCTGCAGCCAAGCATCCTTCCAGCCTCTTCAGGTTCACATGCTGCGGCCCATTTTGGGCTTCCCCAGCTACTTCTCACTGCAGCCATACTGCAGTTCTAGATCCTAGTTCTACTGTGTGAGGGCCCAGATACTCCAGGGTGTCCTCATCACTAGTCCCCCTACAATGGCCCTGTTTCCAGAGGAGTCCTGAAGTTTTTGAATTTGGGCTTGAATGTATTTTTTACACTAGATCACATGACATAGAGGACAAACTTCCACGCATTTCACGTGTTGACGATCGTAGGGAAACACAGCCATCCTTTATCTTGAATATGTGTTGTCTGCTTTAATCCCGCTTGGGACTCTCCCGTGGCCACAGCTTCTCTAGTCAACTACTCAACCTGCTTAGTTTGTATTGCTGAGCAAAGACATGGGTAGCGTGGGATGACTGCGGGATGTGCAAATGTCCAGGGGCATTACCGAGGCTGCCGAGCACTTCTGCAGTGTCTGAGCTGGGATTCCAAGTACCAAGAGGGCTTGCTTCTGCTCTGTGTGGGTTATATGTGCTAGGAGGACTTGCTTCCACTCTGTGTGGGTCATATGTGTGCTGGGAGGACTTGCTTCTGCACTTGCTTTCTCTCCCATGGGTGAGGTGGGAGGGATTTATTTCTATTGTTTGAGAACTAACTACACACATGCCGGGTGGGAGGCCAGTATGGGTTGGTCACATGTGTGCTGGGGACTTGCTGTCAGTCTTCATTTTCCACTCTGCTGTTAGGTCTTTTATCTGCTTAGTGTTCTCTGCACTTTAACACTTCTCCCTGCTCCATGGACAGACAGGGTCTGACTGCAAGACCCGCACAGGTCACACTGTGATGTTTGGGGCCTCACATGCCAGGGGACACTGTGTGTCTAGTTGTACAAGCATTTCTGAGAGTTTGCTCCCCGTTGCAGACTTAGCCTACTGTGGGCCCAGTCATGGAACAGCCTGGCCTGCAGGTCTCAATCTGAGCTATGCTGAGTTAGTGGCATGGCTACTAGTGATAAGAACCAGACTGGCCAGGCAGCATCAGGACAAGGACTCCTTGCTCTCAAGGGCTGACATTCTGGACTGTCACAGTCTGTCCCACAGTGCCAACAGGGCATCTCCTGCCTCTGCTTCAGCATCTGCAATGCAGGTTCCCCAGCTGTGCTGGGAAGAGCCCCTTCCTGGCCCTTGGAGGCTGGATTCTGGTGCCAGCTCTCCTGTATCCCAGGGAAGATACCTGACCAGGCATGGGGACCCACATTCCTGGAGATGTTTCACAGTTATAGTTAGAGGATGGTACCTCACCCCAGCATGCCCAAACAAGGTTGTCTGGTTGAAGCTTTTTGTCTAGGTAGCCAAGCGGGAAACCTAGGACCACTGTAAGGCAACTGTGCTGACAGCAGCATCCCTTAGGCTACATCCTAGAAGACAACACGGTGTTCACTGTGGGACCTGGAAGTCATGTGGGGAAGGGAAATGGGATCTGAGTCATGCAGACGACCCAGGTTCTTTCCTAACGAGACCTTTCAGGAATGCTGGAGGAGGAGGGGATGGGGGGATGAGCGTGACTGGGGTACACTCATGATCTCTGCTTGGATGTCCTTGACAATGAGTCACACTCATCCACAAAGCACTTATGGGCCAGGGGCTGGTTGGTGACTTGAATCTTTTCACTACAATGTGAGGGGTGTGTGTGTGTGTGTGTGTGTCTCCAGAGGAGAGCATTGGTCCTTCACTTTCCACCTTAGTCTCTTGAGGCAAGGTGGCTTACTTATCCTAGAGCTATGAGGGCTGCCAACCCCAGCCATCCTCCTGCTTCCGCGCCCACAAGACTAGGATTTCAGGTCTGTAGCCTCTATGTGGCTTCTGGGAATTTGGTTAGGTCTTCATGCTTGTACAGCAAGGGTTCTTACCTTCTGAGCCATCTCTTCCAACCCTGACAGTATTGACAGTATGGATATTTAAAGACTGGGGTGGTGTTCGCCCAGTATCAGGCAGCCCTGATGAAAGAGAATGGAGTGGCATGCAGCACAGCGATCGGAGAGAATGGCCCCTTCATCTCTGTGCTGTGCACCCCAAACAAGTCTGGACCCTTTAGCAGCCTACTCCTCGCCCCTCTCCAGCCTCTTCCCGAGGCCCCAGAACCCCCAGTCTTCTCTCTGTCTCTGGTTTGCCTGTTCTAGAGAGTTCTGATGAATGGGTCTCATTAACCACGGTCCTGTGCTATCCCTTACATACTATCTCCTAGATGGCATGTGACATCAGAGCTCTATTCCTTTCTGTGACTTGATAAGATTCCCTTGTATAAGCTGGACATAGTGGGGCTCATACCCATAGTCCTATCTCATGGAAGGCTAAGGCAGGAGGATTGCTGAGACTGAGGTTACATAGTGAATTCCAGGTTCAGTGAAATCCACACGCTACAGTGTGAGACAGTACCTCAAAAACCAAATAAACAGGCAAAAACCCAAAATCAAACAAACAAAAAAATTCCATTGTGTGTCTTGGTAACAGTCGGCCCATTCATTCACAAGGTGGTAGACGCTGGGGCTGTGGTCCCATTTCACCTCTTATAAGCAATGCTATTGTGGACACGGTATTCAAGCACCCATTAGAGATTTATTCTACATTCTTTGGGGTCTACACTCTCCTGGACTTTTGGCTGCTACTCTGGCCTTGGGTGGGTGCTGCTCTCTGATGTAGGTGGTATACAGGCCCAGCTGTGTCTCCGCACTAGATAGCTGGCTCTCCAGCTGTGAGGGGTCCAGAGACTCCTCACAGCCCTACCTGTGGGCAGATGTTTCTCCTTGCACACTTGTGGGCTGAGCTGCTCTCTTGGGATGAGGGCTCCTGCCTCCCTCGCTGACGCACAGTTACACACAGGGCGTTGTCTTGAGGGGCCTCAGATCAAATTCAGAGCACACTGGAAGTAGTGATTGAACACCTCAAATCCAGCCGCCGATCTAAGCACATCTTTTGCTTCCTACCAGTTTCACAGTTGCTGGGCCAGGTGCCAGCCATAGGCACATGCTTCCCCCGACACGGGCCCCTCTCTCTCTTACCCTGCGCCTATCTTCACCCACAGGTGAACCTGCACGTACAAATCCAGGCCTGGGGACCCGTTACATCATTATCATTGCGGTAGCTGCATTTACTGTGGTGGCAGGCGCTACGACCCTTCTGATCTTGCATTACCAGAGAATGAGGGGCAAATACAGTCTCAGAATCCAGACCGATGACTTCAGCTACCAGGTGTTCACTCAGTAGGCTACCCAGCTGATCGGGAGACAGGTAAGTGTGAGCACGTGAGCACGTCTGAGGCTTCACCCTGCGTCCATCACCTGTGGTGATGGCAGAGCGGGCTGGGCGAGGGGTAGACGCTGCGTGATCCCTAACCAACACGTCTCACTCCCCAAAGCAGCTGAGATCAATCAGAGAGGGAACATTTGCAGGTCAACAAAGAGCTCTGCCATTTACAGCATGGTCTCAGGAAGCCAGAGGCAGTACAGTGATCCTGGTACCCACCCTGAATCTTGGCCTCATCCATGAAGGATGTGTTCATGGGACAGTCCTTCACGTCCCAGGAGTGCAGCTGGATCCACTGTGACACTACAGGCTCCGGCCAGCATTAAACTCAAAGGCCTTCCGCTGTGAGGCTGCCCAACCTGCCAGTCAGCCTGGTTTGTTTGGGGGGGTATAGTGTGCCCCCCCAGAGAGCAGTGACTGCACATAGTCCCCACACAGCTTCCTATAGCTTCAAACCGCCTCTTGATCAGCTAAGATAGCTCACACACTGCAGATGCGACAGGTCACCACACTGTGCTCTTTAGTGATGACCAGAAAAATCTGTCCATATCCGGAGCAGACAAGTTCATTTTTTTATTTATTTATCTGAGTGTAAGATCGGGGATCAGAGGACAACTTACAGGAGTTGGTGTTCTTTTTCCACCCTGTGGGTCCCAGGATTGAACTCCCATCTTCAGGCTCTTGGTGCCAAGATCCTTTCCTGATTGAAACATCCCATTCATTTTTAAAGAATGCTTTGATATGGTTGGTGGATCTAAGGCTGTGGAGCCCAGGGATGGAGGGCCCCTCTCTGGATTTCTCCTTTCCCTTCTGTAGACTGATCCTGTGATCTTCTTCCCCACACAGAGCACACTGTAAATAAGGTCCGGTGATTAATTCATCAAGCGTTGGCAGGGCTCCACTCTGGGCAGTGCTGTGTCAGCCCTTGGGGATGAGCCCCCATGATGACAACCACCTCTGTCTGCCCCCAAGAGGCTGAAGATGCAGAGCCGAACCCACCAGGCCGGTGACAGGTCTGCTGAATATGTGACAGGGTGCTGGAGTGGCCCTCAACCTCAAACCTAGCATAAACCCGGCCCCTCCATTACCTAAACTGCCATTCAAGCTGCCCTTGCTCACCAACAATTACATGACATGTCACATCTTCACAGACATTTGACAGTGTCTGTGATGCTCCTTCATGACTGGACCCATCTGGTAAATTCTCCACTGTCATTGTCCCTATGCAAACACTCTATGCTCTCCTTCTCGGCACATGCCTTTCACTTAGGCAGTGACCCAAGACGTCCTAGTCGAATATGGGAAGCTTTCTGAGTGATAATCACGTGATATGTAGACACCACTCACATCCATAGCCATTTATCATGGAATGCCATGACGGGGAAGGGACAATTTACCCAGCACACCACAAGAAAACAGGGAAGGGAAGGGGAGGTATGCACCATATGAACAGGCCCTCTGATTGATTTGAAAGACCAGAATTGGTTAGTTAACACCTAAGACAATAGTGAGGTTAGCATTACAATGGGGTCTTAGCCTTTAATTGATATGCTTAGTTCTGTCCTGTGGTTGTCACACAGAGTATTTAGGGGAATAGATTTTCTGATTTATTGCATATTCTGGGATTAAGAATGATGGCCAGGAATCTGTGGCTAGCTGATTTCGAGCAATAAATTTCTCCTGCACTGAAGTGTGGCTGGCTGTGTTGCTTCCCATGTGGCGTAATTGCTGTGATAGTCTCCTTCAGTACCCCCCAGGGCCAGATGGTTCTGTACCAGACACTCCAGGGAGTTGCCGGGGCTCCCCAAGTCTCAGCCATTGGTTTGGATTTCATCTCATCGCCTTGCACTGGCTGTTCTTGAGAAAACGTAAGGATCTGAGAAAACCCAGTTACTGAGCCCAGGACCTGGCTGCTCTTTGGAGTTTAAATTCTCTTTCACATTCCACCTTCAGTTTTCCTGTGGTCTCTGTCAGCAGGCCATGTCCTGCTGTCTGTGCTTCCCATTAAAAGGGAAACTCGGCCTCCTCCTGCTCACTCTCACTCCTCGGTGTATTCTGCTTTCTTTGGTGAGCGCTGTCTGAACAGTCACAGTACACCAGACCCTGAGCTCAGTTCTTCAGACAAGAGGGTAAGAAGGGCAGAAGTACCCAACCTTCACAGAGTACACAATTGTGTTGGGGAGGGGATATTTAGATCAATAGAAATTGGGGCCAATAGCAAGCGATCAGAGAGACGTGATATATTGAAAGTTGTCCCTGATATCGTTCACCCACCCACCCAACTACCAATCTGTCTGTCCATCCACTTTTTCACGTAACCACCCATATCCTCAACCACCATATCCTCAGCCATTCATTCTACCCCATCCATCCATCCATCCTTCCTTCCATCCATCCATCCATCCATCCATCCTTCCATCCATCCATCCATACTTCCATCCATCCTTCCATCCATCCATCCATCCATCCATCCATACTTCCATCCATCCATCCTTCCATCCATCCATCCATCCATCCATCCATCCTTCCTTCCATCCATCCATCCTTCCATCCATCCATCCATCCATCCTTCCATCCATCCTTCCTTCCTTCCATCCATCCTTCCTTCCTTCCATCCATCCTTCCATCCATCCATCCATCCTTTCATCCATCCTTTCAGTCCACCTACTCGCCTTCTACCCTATCCTATCCATTGATTCATCTACTCACACACTTTTCAATCAATTCATTGACCTAAGTACCTATTGATCAATCTACCCATCCACCCACTACCTCTTTACTTTTCTGCCTATCTACTCATTTATTGATCCACTTACTTATCCATCCAACCACTCACCCATCCATCCATCCTACCTACTCACATTCTGATCTACCCATCAATAGTTGATTCATCTACTTACCCACTTATCAATCAGTTCATCAATCTAACTACCTATTGATCCATCTATACACCTGTAAATCTCTCCACCCACCCACTCACCACCCCTCTTCACTTTTCCACCTCACTACTCACCTATTGGTCCTCTTATCCATCCATCATCCATCCATCCATCCATCCATCCCTATAACCTAGGAGTTTTTGTTGAGTCTGTGTTCTTGTGTGGATGTATGGGACAGAATCCTTGCTGTACCTATTCACAGCCTATCTGAAGAAACTCCCCATGAATGCACCGTGCATTCAATCAAGTCAAGGAACTCTCAGGAGGAGGGAGGCTCATGTGCTCACATTCCTTATAAACACGTCCTTCAAACACATTCTTTTGGGGTGGTTCAGTTAAAGGGATTCAAGTCAAATAGTGCTGAAGTAGAAGGAATGTCCCTGATACAGATGTCACTCCCGACTGACTTCAGGCTTCAGAGCTCTGGAGACGTTAGTCCACACATGAGCGGTCAGGTCTCCTGTTGGTGGCAGAGACTGTGGGCATTTTCTCAGTCAGCACTCACCAGGGCATCCAGGGGTGAGGCTCTCCCTTTACAGCTGAGGACACGGACACCAGTTAAACCAGGCACCGAATTGGAAACAAACTCACCTGCTGTCAAATCCATTGGAACTAACTGATCCGTTCTCAAGTTGGCCTCTCCCCTGCCTCCTGGGGGAGAGGGGAGTGTAGTTGGAAGCTGCTTGTTTGTTTCCCAGCTGCCCAAAGCCGAAATAACCACACAGAAACTATATTAATTACTATACGGTTTAGCCAATAGCTCAAGCATATTTCTAGCTAGCTCTTACATCTTAAAGTAACCCATTTCCATTATTCTGTGTATCTCCATGTGGCTGTGGCTTACTGGACGAAGTTCCAGTGTTCGTCTCTTCTGGTGACTACAAGGCATTTCTCTGACTCCGTCTACTCCCTCTATCTTTTACAGCCAGGCTATATTCTGTTAAGCCATTGGTCAAAAGCAACTTCTTTATTAACCAATGGCAATAAAACATCCTAGCATACAGAGGGGAATCCCACATCAGGGCAGGAAGGCCGTGTGGGTTTCTGAATGTACCTGAGATGTCCAAATGGCAGTGGAACTCCCCAAAGTGGTCACCCCTTACCTTCTGTGGTTCTGTCTGGGTTCCTGGGTGTACTCACTGTGGCCCTGCCTGACACGGGGTCTCAGGGTGTGAATGGCACACGGAAGAGATCTGATGGAGGTCAGGGTCTGATGGAGGTGATGGGCTAATGGAAAACCTCTGAGCTTTGCCTTGGTGCCTGGCCCAAGCTGCAGCTCTCTATCATGACCACTAGATGGAGCCTTGAGCCAAGGCTGCACCCAGGGCTGTGCAAACCCTTGCGATTCTGTTGCAAACACAGCCCCTCTGGCTTCTCTTGTTTGTTTGCTGGATTTAACCTCTTGCCCTTAAGTGAAGATGAATCTGAAATTTTTCTGCAAGTCTGTGTCTGTTGGCATGGGGCCTTCGAGGTGACGCTTGTCTTTGAGAGGAGGACCCTGCAGTTCTCTTTGGCAGGCTGAGTTAAAGGAAGGGAAGAAGGGAATGGGACCTGTGGGGAGGGAGTGCTGACATCCGCTTTACTCAGTAGACATCCTAGGGAAAACAGTCCCCTTCTTTCCTCCACTTCCATTTCTAGGAGGAAAAGATGGTTGGGCAAGATTATTAGGATTCCCCATTCTTTGTGTCAGGTGTATTGCAGGGCCTCCATTCCAGCCCTGGCCACAATGGCTCTTGGTCTGCAATGTGACGTCATGGATGCTCAGTGCAGTAGCTGGCCTTGTAAGACCCCACACACAGAGCAGACCTACCCTGGTACCTCCCTTTCTCCCCGGACCCCTTCCCTTCCAGGAGTCTAGAGTGAAAGACGGGGCAGATACCACCAGTCATGAATCAGGCTGGGGAGATAAGTGGACTCCCTCCCACCAGCACACCCTGAGGTGTCCCTGGACAAACTTAGAACCTACCCCTGTTGGGGCTCCCATCCTCAGGACTTCCAGCTTCTACCCCGGGAACCTTGCATAGGCACATGGGCAGCCAGGCTGGTGCCAGGCAGGGCTGGAGCCCTGTCTGGGGATGCCCCACAGCAGCCGGAGTAACCTCTGGCTCACAATGTCCCCATGCTGAGTTCTGGAGCTGCTTCTGGGGAGGAAGTGGCCACTTGACCTTTCTTGGGGTGCCCATAAACAAGTTAACCCTCCAGGGCCTGGCTGGCTTCTCCCTGGGGAGGCCTTTTTTCCGCACCCTATCCTTCCTGCCTGCTGAACCACCATCTAACTGCTTTCCATTGGTCGCCATCCTAGCAGCACATGGCTTCTCTTGGCACTGAATCCAGTTTCTAATGGCATCCAGCTTCCCTGAGGAGCTGGGCTGCTGATGTCTAAGTCAGATCCAGGGAATGGCTCCTGCTTCTCTTCCTCCAGAGTGGGTACCGTTACTAACTCAGTTTCACAAGAACAGCCATGCGTTGCCCTCTGTGCAGAGACATTGGACCTGCTCCACACCTTCTCACTGTCATAGATGTTCACCAACCAGAATGGAAAGGGACCCAAACCACAAGGGTCCTCCTTAGAGCAACCAGCAGGGTACTTTGGGCTGTCACAGGGACCTCAGTTCCTCTCTGGAAGGTCCCCAGGCAGGTGTGGGTCTGGAACAAAGGTGAGCAATGCCCTCCAAGCCTACAGGTCCTCTCTGCCAGGTGCCGCCTCACCTCACGCCTGTAGCTAAATCAACTCTTGCTGGTGCAGAGTGTAGGAGATGGAGCCTGGAAAGGAGGGCATTGAAGGATCAAAGTCGCTATCCCAGCTCCACTTGGCATTTGGTCCCCTGGTTTCCTGGCTCTGATCACCTGCCTCGAGTTGACTGTTACCCCATCAAGCACGTTTTTTTTCTCCCAGGAAGCTTCTAAGCACACACACACACACACACACACACACATATGCACCACACACACAGAATAATCAACTTCCTCTGACAAGAATAAATAATATAGACCCCATCAAGATTAATTTTCAAAGGTAATTCTTTAAGTAAATTCAACTTGGGAATCTTATTTATTTATTTAGCATACATCTGGGGCTTTTCAAATCATGTTTGAAGGGGCCCTTGATTCATGGTTGACCAACTCCAGCCATGAAACCAACCTTACCATCAATCCTGCTAATTA